GTGTGTGCGTGTGTGTGTGTGTGTGTGTGTGTGTGTGTGTGTGTGTGTGTGTGTGCGCCATTTATTGGACTTTCATTTGCATCTTGCTTGGGGCTTTCGCATACTTGGGCCTTTCGCACCGTTTGTGGTTGGTCACAGCCAGCACTGCTGGCCATTCTTTAAAGCTGGGAGCAGGGCCTGCAAGCCTGGGAGCCGGTTGAATGTTGGCCTCCCACCAAAAAAAGCCTTCCCCTTTTTCCTCCAGAAGCCACTCCAAGTCAATCAATCTGGCAAGCAAGCGCCACAGCCTCTGATACAGCAGGCACAGTCCCATCTGCTTTCTGAGGGAGGTGGCAGATTGCTCGACACATGGGTTCTACAGGAGTGCACTTTTGTAACCCTGTTGGCACCCAAAAAGCATTGCGGAGGGCTGACAGAAAAGGCTTCGGCTGGGGCCCCGTCTTGGCTTCGTGGAACCAGGCACGGCTTTCTTAGTGCTCAAAGGCCCAAGTTCATGTGGTCCCTCACTACCTCAACCACAGTAGGTGGAACTTCCGACCAGCTTGGAGGACAGACTCAAGAAATTGGCGCTAGTTGCTTGTCCATACTTTTGGACCACAATGGCTTCACCCAATTTGTTGGAGTGATCGTCTGTTGCATTGCACCAAGGATCCCCAGCTGCGGCTGCCGAAGCCGGCGGTGCCGTGGCAAGTAGGGCCCTACCAAGGGCCCTACCTTGCTTAAAACCCCACTTTGCCCCAAGCTGACTGCAGTTGAATGGGTTGTTTTGGCCTACCACTTACCACCTGGGGTTCATTGACCTACCGCTTGGCTAGTCCTGTTCTTTCAATCCTCCGCTTGAGGAGCTGAGTTGCACGGTCGTCCTCGTGGGGAATTAGTCGGGCTGCGGCACGCAAACCCCAGCAGATCAAATGCTATATTTGCCTCTAAGTGGGCACACGCTTGGTTCTATGCTAGGCTTGCAGAGGTCATGTTTTGCTCTACAGTTAGAACCACCTGCCCAAAGAATGCAACACAACCTCTTGTGCATTGTCCCTGAGTGGGCAAAGCCCAAGCTGGTCTTGGATTCAGTGCGCTAAGGGAGATTGAATAAAGCTGCAAACAATGCAGCATTGCTCGTGCAATATCTGAATCCCCGCCGACCAATGGATCATTCCTTGTGGATCCAATGAGAATTCTAGCAGTTGACGTCTATAGCATACCAAACGTACTTGAGCACACGGCAAGAAACAAGCACTCAAATCAGCATTACTTACCTCATGCACAATTTCACTCCATGTTGGTCAGCATTTGCTGGCAACCTCAGCGGGATCAGCGTGGCTGAATCTTGTAGACCCTCACATGGTCACAGCCAGTCGGGCCCCAATGGCTTAATTTTAGCGAGGTGGCTTGTCAATTTGCTTGGTTCCCCACTGCCTTCTTCCAACTAGCAGGCGGCCGCAGGCGGCTGACAGTTGCGAAGCAGATGCCCCCACGGGAGCATGCCTGGTTGCAGAGGTCAAGCATGAACCCATCAAAAACTCCACGCCCTCCTTTGGAGCTAGAATAGGAAACAGGCCAGCGTAGATGTTTGGGTTAGCGTGCCGGCGCAACTTGGGCTGCCCCGACGGCACCCATTCATGCATCGTGCGGCTGGGCCTACGCTGATACACCCCGGAACTGGTTGAGTGATGGAGAGGCCCCGTTTCAAGGAGCGTCCTTCACTTTTCCTCAACGCAGCGGCACCAGATCATGTGCAAGCTGCCGAGTCTGTCCAAAACGCCACCGGCTGAGGACATTATGTTCCAGGCGTTTGTGGATGTGCTTTTCTTCGTGATTGGCTGTGGGCTCTTCGTCTTGGAAGGACGGGCCATTCCTGGACTGCCAAGCCTGTCACCCTTTCAGTCGGGATTCGTTGTGCTTTCTTGGGACCAATACTCCAAGCGATTTGCCATTGGACACCGGAAGCCGGCATTTGGATGAGATTCTGAAATTGCTTGGCCCAATCACTCCATGTAGAACAATTGCCCTGGGGGACCTGCTTTTGGAGGCTGCTTAGAAATCGGCTTTTCTCAGGCCTAGTCCACTGCAGTAGCATCCACTGGCCTGCGGAGGTTGAGCAAAGCTTCCCTGAAGCTGCACCGTGCCCCGTTCGGATTCGGATATGCCATGGCTGCTAAGATGCAGCTGCTAGGAGGGTGGTGCTTTGTGTTGCCTTTGAGTTTGCCGATTTGCGCGCCCCGCATTGCTTCAGGTTAAGCAGCTGCATCGTTTGATTGTTTGACCATCCTCGTAGGGCCGTATGGCCAATTGATAACATCTTGCTTTGTCCATGCCACGCTCCTGACAAACGCTAATTCATGCAAAAGCTTTGCATCAGGGAGGGGAGCTATTGCTTCTCGCATGGGAAGGGCTACTAGTTTCCCCAGCCGTCCCAGAAGTGTTCTGGTTGCAACGTGGGAGTGTCCAAAGTTATGGCCCACTGGTCGTTTGTGAAAGGAAACCAGGGTCAGAAGGTCGCCAGCCACCATTGAAAGGTGTCTTAACGTCAAACTTTGACGCACTGGAGGGTGTCAAATCCAGTTGGGCTCCTCCAAGTGGTTGGTCGTTCTTATGTTATTTTCTGGGCCTGCGGCCTCTAGCCGGCTACGCCTCTTTGAAGTTATACCATGTCATGTCATGTTTTTTGTATGAGAAACGTATCCTGTGCTATGATATGGCTGCCAACCCCAGATGATGCCGGGGGATGCCAGCTTTCTGGGCCCTAGCCAGGACCCAAACCAGAAGGCTCACATGGGGTCGGGCGCGCGCGCGCCAGAGGCCGCAGAAACAGCAGCCCAAAAACAACAGCCCGCAAGCCAGCCCGGAAACGCAAAAGCAACAAAACACCGTAAATAGCAGCGTTTTGTGGCTGGGGGCGCGCGCGCGCGCGCCAAAAGGCCCGAAAACCAACGCGAAAAAAGCAAGGACCGCGCAGCACGCGAGCCAGCCACAGCAAAAGCAAAACGGACAGAACAACAGCCCACCGCTCAGCACAGCAGTTTTTGACGGTATTTACAGCGTTTTGTAGAGCGAGGACCCAGCATCGCCGGCATGCCCGGCAGCGCTTGGCGCCAAAATGCGCGAAAATGAGCCTCGCTTATATCCCTCCGATACCTTCTAACAAACAGTGCTTTTTTGGGACCATCATGGATTCCAATCACTTCCAGTTGCATCCCACGCCGGTGGGACGGGAGGCAGAGGGTCGGCGGATTTCTTTGGATGGATCCAGGAGGAGTCCCCAGTTTTGCGCATACCAACCATAGAAGCTGGAGGCCGACACTAGGGTTCGGAAGAGCACGGTCCCCTACCCCCCCTCCCAGTCCGCTTCCAGGACTGTTGGAAAGGGGTGCACACGTCAGTAAAAAAGCGTATTAAGTTCATCTCGCTTGATAACCTCTCAGCACCCCTCGCACAGGCGAGCGCTTCTTTCGGACCTACCGTGACCTTAGCAACACTGGCTTCGTGCTTGTGCCGCTGGGCTTGGGATTTTTGGATGAGTCTCCCTTTCGGGTTGGCAGCTGTTTGGGGCCTTTTTTTTAACATGAGGAACATGAAAGAGAACCCGCCCATTTGAAGGGTGTCCCGCATTTTGAGACGAGCCGCTTTGCCTGGATCACTTCAAGGTCAAGCCTGCGGGGCGGGCTGCCCACTCGCCTTGCAAGCGAGTCAACTTGGGCCCCGTGACCGCCCATTAAGTATCCAATTTCATGAGTTGGACGCCTCTGGTTCTATTGCATGTTGCCGTTGTGAAAAAATGGCATCCCAAAGTTCACATTGAACGCTTGGGAGTACATGCGACATCTTCCTAGGCCAGTACGTTTTGGCACTGGCTGCCTCATTCGCAAGCCAGCCCCCAAAAGGGCCGCAGGATTTGACACATACCCAAATCTGGAACGGCGCTTCTTGGTCCGCCTGCTGGCGACCTTTGGCAATGCGTGAAAGGATGGCTGGTGGAAATGATTGTTTATATTCTGCAACTTCGCGATACATTTACATACATCTATCAAAAAGCGTGTTTGCCTTCATGGTACGTTCCCATTCGCGGATCGTGAACCATGTATGGATGTACTGTGAGCCTCAGTCAGGAGTAGAAGGTAGAAGTGCCTTGCTGAATTGCTGAATTGCTGTGTTTGAGGCAATGCAGGCCAATCTTCGGCTTTCAGTGGCTAGTACATTTGAGCCACACTCAAAACCCGGGTAGATGAAGGTTAGTAAGGGGCAGTCTCAGCCAGAAATAGTTGCGGCCGTCTTCTTAATTCTTGAAGCAGGGTTCTGGGATTACGACTTTTACTACCGGGTTTTGATTGTGACTCGTTTGACTTGACTTGGCCTGCGGCTCCTGGCTGACAGCGGCCGTGAAAGCCTTCTAACAAGCATTCCTGCCTTTGCAGGGGCATTGTCTCGTGTGTGTTTTCTGAATAGCCAGGGCCATGGCCTGGTAGCACAACTGAGGTTGCTTGGTTAAACCATGCGGGAACAATCAACATCTGGTCATTTGTCTTCTGAACTGCCATGTCCCTGGGACCAAATTGCAACTCGCTTCTACTCACGTCTCAATTTCACGTTGGGTTGAGGCGTAGGGTAGCTTGAATTCCACAATGGTCATGGCCCAATCTGAAAATCCAGCATGTATTGTGCATCGCTTAGAAGGCTGTTTGTGGGTATTATGAGTGATTTGACATTTAGGGTGCCTTGGTGTGTGGGTGCGTGGTTGTGATGGCGCGTGCGTGTTTCCCAACACTGCTTTCTAGAGCAAAAGTATGTTACATTCTCTGTGCTTGACATTTGGGGCTCTCACAAGCTGAGGCTCGCTTTTCCTCTGGTCTTCGGCTGTGCGGGGGTGCTTCGCATCTTTTTGGCGGCTTCGCGCTGTCACTTGTGACCCCTGCGGGGCGGGGCTGAGGGCTGATGATGTGCTCCTCCAAGTTCACACCTTCCTGCTTGCAAGCCAACCACCTGTTTGTACGAAGCTTGGGGCTGTGGTCATTTGCAGGAAATTGGATGCGGCATTTGATTTTATTTCACCACACAATTTCGAAGCTGCAAGCAGCGTATTGCACTTGGTCCTTGGGCTCCTCGGCCCCTGCAACACGGCGACAGAGCGTTGGAGCTTTGGAGGCACTTGAAGTTTTCGTCAGGTACTACGAAAGTTTACGCCATGGCATGCTCCTGAAGCTTCAGGACAGTGGGAATACCAAGAAAAGCTCTGCCATGTTGAGGCACTGCAAAAAAATGCAACCACGGCGTTGGGCGGCACTTAAGGTGTTGGCATGGAAGTGCGTAAGCGTGTAACAGTCGCGTGGCTCTTGCGGGGAGATGTGTTTGTTTTTGACGTATTGGCAAAGAAGGGCAGGGGATGAGCGCACACATTGGTCTTTTGGCCAATTCCTGAACTGTGGATGAATCAACGATGAATGCTTTGCAAACCTGCTATGGACCTTGTTTGGCAGTGAAAGGACCCACGGTTGCATGCAGCCCTTTTTAGGGCAAACCCCATGTGATATAGGTAAGCCTTTCCGGGCAGATATGACCAGTCTCCATCATCCCGCCACCAAACAAAAATAACTTGCTGTACATTGAAGTTGTCCTTTCGAACCACCCCAACAAGGGTACCCCCTCAAAACGACACACCTACATGCCCAGGCCTATTAGACAAGTTCTTGTGACCTCCTCGACAGGAGGTGCAATTCTGGAGGGACTACTTGTTGCTTTGGTTTTGGGTCGGTGTCATCATCACCGTCGGACAGGCAGCCCAGGCGGGAGGGGAGAATGGGGTGGCGAGGGTTGGCGGGTCAGCTATGGGGCCAATCGAAGGGGTTGACGCCAGGCGCTGGAACAAGGGCTGACCTGTTGTTTGCCTGCATCTCTGCAATTCTTTACGGCCTTGGCGCGAGCCCCACTGCTGCAAACAAACTAATTGCTTTCCCTGTTGGGCACTGAAGTGCGTTGGCGGTTTTCAGGGTAGATGGACCAGGTTGCATTAGCTTCTTGTTGCACTCATTCATGCTGAGTGATTGGAAAATACTGTGCAATTGTCTGGAAGTCACTTTCTTTGTCCAATTTGTGGGGCCTGCTGCCGAAACTCGCCCTACTTCCGAACTCGATCTGAGATTGCAGCTCAAACCCTGATCGGTGCAAGTGCAATGTGTGGGCCTGCTACGGTGTAAAACATGTGTTTACTCTAGGCAATTCGTTCGGATGCAGGCTGATCTCAATCGAGGTATGTGCTGTGGCAGTTGACTACTGGCTTTCCGGAGTGCACGCCTGCAGAGAAGGCAACAAACACTGGGGCGCTGGTAAACATGATGCATGAATGCTTGTTTTGCCTAAAAAGCAGGACAAGCGGCTTTGCTCTGAAACGAAAGTGCCCTTTTGTGACACTCCCTGGTTCCCTGGTTCATGTTTTGCCTTGGCACTCTGTTTAAGTTCAACAGCCTGGTGCAGAATTGTTTTTGTGCAGTGTTTGCATTGCAGTGCAAAGGGCTGTTGCGAATGCTGCTTAGGCGCTTGCGCTGCCATGCTGATTACTCTTCGCTGCCAGTCCGGCACTGCTTGCGTCAACTGCTTGCACACTGCTGTTTGCCTACCGCTGGTCTCGCTGCTTGAAATGCGTTCGGAATACTCATCTAGTCCTCTCTCCCGCGCGCGCACAAAGCGATGTGTTGGGCAGCATTTTTGCGGGTGAAATGCAGCGAGCGCGCCGCCCTTTTGAGGTAGTTTTCTGGGACCGCAACAATATGTGGGAGGACCTGAAGGCCGGTGAGCGCACAGCCGAGATCCATGGATCTGAGCGCTGTCCTTCAGACAGAGTATGAACACAGCACAGTGGCTTGCTTAGTTGGGTATAGAAATTTCATAATTGTGATGTTTGAATGCATATGCATGTGTATAGGTACCTAGACGCATTAAAATATAGGTGTGTAGTTCCTTAGCTGCTTGGCAAGCAAAAGCAGTATCCCTCTTGAGTGACCATTCCGAATGACACACGGGTGTGCCTCACTCCGGCTTATGTGCACTTGTCTCAGGCACCTTAGATGCTTCAGCTCAATGGATGTTGAAGACAGTTCGGCCTTGGGATGCTGTGCTGGGTTCCTTCCAAGCTTTTTAAAGATGAATATAGCGCAAGGGTAGAACACGACCTTCGGGACAATCAGGTTTTTGGAGCAACCCAGTGTGATGTGAACCAATCATGACTATCCTTCTTTCAACAGTCAGCCCTTCTCCCTCGGTTCTTGGTGGTTTCTGGAAAGAAGGATTGTTGGAATGGGAAGGCTTTGCTAGACTGGGTTGCGCAAATTCAATTATCAATCCTATGCCAAATAGTAGTGAGATCCTTTGTGCAGTGAAGTGTTGAACTACCCAACTAGGACGCCACCACTTGAATCATCAGCCAGATGTCAGCCCTTTCCCCAGCAATGTGGTGGTTATGTGGTGGTTTGCCGGAAGAAAAGGTGGAGAGTTGCCACTATCTGCTACCAGCCGCAGGCACTGCTGGTCTTCTCCTCGCCACTGTACTACATGATATCCTCCATGCTGGACATCCAGCACGCCGAGAGTCAGGCGCTGCAACGCCACTGCATCCTTGCGCTGGAAGGCGGGCTGCCTCGCTCGTTGCCAGCTCGAGCGGCCGTTGTCCAAAGCGACTTGACCTGTTCCACCTGCTGGGTTTGCGTTGTTTTGGTTTTTGCTAGTTTCTAGTCCAGGTATCCAACAGTTCGCCTCTTGCTGGCAGGTCCTTAATTGTTGGGGCAGGTAAGCGTATTCATATCCCCCGCTCCTACCGCTTTGGTTGGAGTCATTCTCGGTGAGCTTTGCGGTGTTCCGATCACCCGATCTGGTCACTCAACATGCCACGTATGCTGCGCACATTCTCACCCAACCTGTCTCAGTCGGCAGCCAGGGCATGTGTCATGTTGCCTCTAGTTTCATCCCCACCCGAAGCATGGAACCCGCCAACACCCAGCACAAGGTCCCTTGAGGAAAATGGCAACCAAACCAGGAACCTCCCTTCAGGCAACGTGCATCGCCAGGAATCTCCAAGGACAAGCCAGTCGAAATCGGCGTGCGAAAGGACATTGAGCCAATCGAGGAGTGGAGAAGTGCAAGCGCTGTTGGCTTCCAGGTTCCGCGTGAACTCCTGTGTTTGACTTCGGGGATCGCCAATAGACAGCTGAGAGCAAATCAAGTGCCTTGTGCATAAGGCATTTACGTACACTCATGGTCACCGTTGGTTTGTTGGCCTTCTCTGTTCTTGACGCCTCTTGCTGGCTTTGAGGGGGCCAAAATGAGTTTTTGGCCCCCCCCCCGCTCCCACCCCAATCCCCAATCCCCAATCCCCAATCCCCACCCCCACCCCCATCCGCGCCAGTCATTGCCAGTTGGTTGGATCGCAGGAGCCCTCCTTCGTGGCCATGGCCAGGCAGCGGAAGGACTTCGCAGAGACGCCGCCTGAGGCGGGTTTGGGGGCCGGGGAAGCGCAAGCGTTTCCAGCTCAAAGTCAGTCTTGAGGATGTTGCTATTCATTTGCCACCCTTGGTGTTGCATGGGAAATTGCCGAGGTCAGTATATTGGTCAGCCATAAGGTGTGCTTTACAGAGAGGTCTTGCAGTTTCATTCAATGCCCCAATGCGGGGACCCGGGTCTCCATTTGGGATGGGACCCCTGTTCGGTGACCCATGTGAATGCTCATGCAAGCAGAGCCCAGACACGCTCGAAACAGCCGGCATGCTGGGATACAAAGGGATCCCACTGATCCCGTGGTTTGCCAGGCCTCAGGCAGCCAGCTGAACGTCACTGACCTGCGCTGGGTGGGATTCGTGTCTTTGCGCCTCGCCGTGAAGCCTTGCATGGGAATCCTTGTCCAAACCGTCCCAAGATTGCCCTTTGAGGGCTCTGTCCAAAATTAAGTTTCTGTGAAGACCAGCCGAGCATACCTGAGCACACTACCGACTGACTGCCCCCAAACGGCTCAGGAAGTCAAGCGGCGCCAATCGCATCATGCAGCTTGGCTTTCCACTTGCTTTGGCCGGGGGAAAAGTAGTGGCAACGATATCCACGCGCTGCTTTCTCAGCCTCAGAAACAGCAACACGTGCGCCAGCTCACCAATGGTCAGGGTTCCCCAAAATGCCAGCTTGGGCGGCTTCCAAACATCGTCTTTTGGGCAAAGAAAAGTGAGTGTCCAAATGGTGGGGTGATGTTTGAGGGGGAAGTATCGGGAACCCCGGTTCGAAAAGGCTCAAACTTCGCAGGGCGTGACCCCGCACCTCAGGTGGCCGCAGCCGCGACGTTCATAAACAGGATCTTAGCCTGTGTGTGCTACTCACACAAGCCAAAAAATGGAAAAACAAAAAGTTGTTGCGTCCCAACAAAATGAGAAGCTCATCTTTTGATTGGTTGGGTTCCATTTTCATCAAGGGGCCAGGTGCCAACGACCTTGAGAGGCCTTTTTTGGTTCTTTGAGTGTCAGTGTGTCAGTGTGTTTGTGTGCGTGTGTTTGTTTGTATGTTTTTTGCTTGTTTGGTTGGCTGCTTGGTTGCCTGTTTGGTTGTTTATTTGTTGTTTTGATGTGTTTTGAATTGTTTTGTTTCGTTTGTTTGTCCGTTTGTTGGTTGGATTGGTTGGTTGTTTTTGTGTGCTTGTGTTTGTTTGGGGTGGCTTTACGCGGATATGTATCAAAAAGGCTTGTTGGATCAAAAAAAGGCTTGCTGCCATGCCCAAAGCAACTGCGAGGAAGGAAGAAAGGAACGCAGGAAGGAAGGAAGGAAGGAAGGAAGGAACGCAGGAAGGAAGGGAGCACTGATGCGTACACTAAATCCACTTTCAACACCCCAAACAAACCCTAAACAATGCAACCCTGGCCATGCCCGACAAGTTCTTTTGTTTGATGCCTGACAAGTGTTTTTTGACAACACGGTCTCCAGGCATTTTAGTGTGTGCGAAGCAAAATCGTGCCCAACAAGTCTTGCTCGGTGGCCAATAAAGAATGATGTTGAATTGCAGAAAAAAGAGGCTTAAAAAGTTGATTTTGATACCCAGATTTTGTCAACCCCTAGGATCACTGACGCTGTGAGTTGCCAGCCTTTTGCCAGCGGTCCACGTCATGCTCGGGCGCACGGGTGCCAATGCTGGCGGCATGATACGAACATCCGCTCACACGCAGCGCCAGTGGCACGTGCAGTTTGAAGCTCTGACATGCGCACCACGCACCATGCCCGCGCGCAGGTTCAAGCACTAATGCCCTCGCGCAGGAGCATCATATTGACCACTGCATAGTGGCATTTACTCTCGTGCCCTTGCTGGCCTCACGACTGGACTTCTACACCGCGGCTCAGCAATCTACAGGTTTGAAAGGTCTCAGATAGTTTCTTTTGCCTCGGATAGGCTTCATCCATGCGGAGCTTGATGCCCGGCCAAACCAGGGCAATCTCTGCCCAACATCTAAAGCAGCTGCCAAGAGCCTAAAACAGCCGCGGTGACAAGTAGTTGACGTCTTTTCAGGCTTGGCGGGTGAGGCGCATGTCCTTCACCCTCAAAATAGCTCAAATTCAGGCTTGCGGATTGCAGCAATGGCAGCTGAAATCGCTTGAAAACCTCACGGCCTTCTATGAGCCGTGGATAGCTGTTGGTGCACCCCACATTTGGTGAAAAGTAGATGGCACAATTTCCCCATGTTGGTCATCCGTTTTCACCTTTCCTTACGCACAAGGGAATTGCGCCAAGTACCCTAGTTGCATGTGTAGACAGGGCTTGCGCTTCAACCTACCAGCTTGTCTGACTACCAACAAAAAAAGAACATGAAAGCCTGAGGCCAATCGCGAGTGTGCCTTTTTTAGGGGACCCCGTTTGAAACGCCTGTTTGTTTTTGTGTTTTTTTCTTTGGAGCTGCAAAAAAGAATACCCTCAAAAAGTGTGACGCCCACCTTTCCGGTAACCCGGCACAAAAGGTGGGAACTGAAGTCGCGAGGCTGCTCCTCTTCAACCCCTTGCTGCTTTGCACCTTGCTCTGCTTGGCCGGGCTCAGCTGCTCTGTGCGCCCCGGATGCCCGATAAGTCTGCCTGGACCAGGAGCCCAAGGGGTTGGGCAGGGGCCCTTGCAGGATGCAGTTGAGTTGGGCGAGTGAAAGGGAACCCTTTTGCACACTGATTTAGGGGACCTCGTAAAGCAGCTGGTTTTTTCAGGAGGCCTGTTTGACAAACTTGGTATTCCCAGCTTGGTTCATGTTCAGCCAAGGTTCCAAAAGGCACACCTTTGATTGTATTTTTCAGGTCCTGGCAAGGCATACTTTTCAAATGAGGGGGTTGGCCCCTCAAGTGTCTGGTTCCCACAGTTGGGGAAGTCTGGCTAAATGCCCCTTTGCCGGGCACCTGAAGGTGGGGGATAGGGGGACCCTGCTCGATGTTGCCACGTTTGTCTCATCACGCAACAAAAGCAGCATCCAGACCAGCCGTGTTTGTAGAATTCGTCATGCATCCCAAACCACTTGAAGAACAACAACATCCTCGCTACACATGGCCGACAGCCGTCCGCCGTGCTGCCAAAAAGCGACGCCTTGCTGCTCCTTTGGAGCGCAAAGTCAACTACTGACTAACGTCAATGCCGCACATATGCCAGGCCAGGCAGACTGGAAAATGGATGCAAATTGCTGCCGGTCCTGGGAAGATGCTATTGTCTTTTCAGGTTGACGTGATATGGGTATGTTAGCGCTTCATGTTTCCATCAAGCCGGGGGGTAATCTATCGTTTTTGGTTGTGAAATGGCATGTGCAGGTGGGAAAACCGCAGCGGTACATACCAAAACGCAGCACCGGGTTTGATCGAATATACATTTGGATTTACATACAGATATGCAGATCATTGCCGAGTAGTACTGAACATGACTGACTCAGCTTACCTGAATCGCATGCAGCGTGATGCCTCAAACTTGACATGTTACATTGAAGGTGTGACTCCTTTTTAAGGCCGACGAGCGCCTGCAAGGTATCGTCTTGCGTTCCTGAGGTACCGTGAAAGATGCAACATTGGAATGCACTTGTGCGTGTGTATCTACGTGTCTAGAGATGTGTATGTGTGCATTCATTTCTTCATTGCTTTGTGTATGTGTATGCGACTTTTAGCTGCATACTCTAGATTTGCATGTGCGTGCATGCCCAGCCGAGTTTAAGCCTCTTCAAGCTGAGGTGCTTTCGCACAATCACCTCCAAGCCAGAACTGTTGAACCTCCGGCTCATCGGCGGAAGCACCACCAAAAGCGGGGCGCTTACAGCTTGGCACTTTGAAACCAAGGGCAAAGGCCACGAACCTGGGGAGGGAGGTCCACACCAGATGAGAGATAGAACTCTCAAAATCTCTCAAAATGGGTGAGTTTTTTTGTGGTTCCCCGGAAGAAGAACCAAAAGGATGGTAGATGCTTCAAAAGGAGGGTAATCGTCAGGGGTGCGAACCCACCTTATAGTGTTTGACAAATAAAAACAACACCGGCACCTAGCGAGGGGCAATCGTCAACATACGGGCGACTGCTGCCTGGCCAGTGGAGACACGCTTTGCTTATTCTGAAGCGTGAGGCCGAAATGGAGAGCCTGGATTTACCAAGGCGGATTTGGCCTCCCATGTCTTGAGGGCAGCGGTGGCAATACGGAGGACCAGTGCCAGATGAAGGGTCTTAGCCCGGTGATGGCAGGAAAGCCATTGCATCAGGCTGTGGGCCGTTGAGGCTTTGACAAGCCGGATTGCTTCCACGCGCGCCAACTGCGTTTTGTTCTTTTTTGCGGGATGTACATGAAGTCCGCGGATGAAACATTCAGACGATTAACTCCACTCGCTCACTTGATGAATTCCTGCACGAAAACATGATCTTGGGGTCTGTCCCTTTCCAGAAACCCTCTCAGTTGGGCAATATGACAACACTTGCCACCCAAATTTTGGCATTTGGCCCTTGCATCCCTTGCTTCAGAGAAGCCGTTTCGCAACAGCTCCTTTGTCAAGACACGGTCAGTGCTTTCGGCAATCTTGGCAAATCACTTGCGTTGCCAGTATTGCCGAACGGCCAGCAATCACGGGCTTCCATTGTGGGCAAGGAAGTTTCATGAGCATTCAATGTGAGAAAGTGACGTTACACACACACACACACATTCGCTTTCACGTGACCCAGCTTCGCATCTCTGCTCTGAGGCTTTAGGCCAAGCCTTCATCACTACCAGGCGAGGGTTTGAAGACTGTGTTCATGTGTTCCATAGCCAGGCGAACCATTCCAAAGAGGCATCATGTTGGACCTCACTACTTGGCTACTTGGGAAGGGGATATTGGGGTTGGACTTGAAGTAACCAGGGTTGCAGTAAGGGAGCCATGGCTATGGCCCACAACTGGCAGAGCATGTGAGAATGCCCAAATTGGGCTGAGTTCCGGTTGGTTGCCAATACCAAACGAGGGTATCCTCAAAAAGGACAGACCCGCATTTGGATGTTTCCTAAAATGGCAGACTGCCAAAAATGACAGGTGTCGTTGTAGTGTCTCTTCTGGCTTCGCTTTGGTCCTTTAAAAAGCGTGTTGCATGTCAACCTGGGTCCTCTCTGGGTTTGTGGGCACCTCAAATTTGGCTTCAGCTTCGCTGCCTTTAAACTCAGCCCTGAATGCGTCCCGGACCTCAACAAAAAGACACCTGCATTTGGGGTGGTCATGGGTGGTCTTTTTTGAGCCCCCCGCCCCCCCTCCCCAAGAAACCATCACATCGGGCCAACCCCTTGCTTCAGCATGTTCATAACCAACCCGTGCGTTTCCCTGGGCCGAATCAGGTCTGGCTGTTGCATTTTTGCATCTTGTGGCCAACCACCAGAAGACTCCACCTGAGGACCCATACCCACTGCCAGGTTTTAGCGCTGAAGAGCCAACGGCTGCTGGGTGTGTCGGCAGAGGTGAACCCCACGGAGATCAGCCGCCTCTCCATGCCACTGGGATCTTCTTTTGGAATTGCATAGATAACGGAATATGTTGGGAGCCGGGTGGGGGGAGTGGGGGCGAAAGCTGTGGCACTTGGAAGTTACGAGATCGGAAAAGTGGCAGCGTAGTTTCCCAGTGAAGGTGGTCATGATCGATGCCAGCGCATTGCCCCTACACATTCTCATTTGTGTCCCGGTCAGTTGTTTGTGCATTGGCTGTTGTAGAAAGAGTTCGCGGAGGCACAAATTCGATGCGAGAGATGCAGCTGCTAAGTGAAACCCTTTTCGGCTTGGTTTAAGTTTTGGTGGTCCCCCTGTTTTGACATACGCATACATACCTCACACAGGAGTGCTTTTCTGCGGGACTGTGGAGCATGTGGGGCCTTTGTCTGGAGAAGAACACGGCTGCCAAGGGGTTCAATCAGGGGGTGATTTGGTGATTTGACTTCTATGTTACGCGGCCAGCATGCTTGTAGCAATGTGCACCTGCTCGCACCCTTTTGGGTGCTTCTCGTTTCCGTTTGGGTTTCTTTATGACAAGCCAAAAGCAAGCCACACATGCTGCGGGGAGCCAAACCTTCGCAGGAGTTTGTTTTTGGACGTGATGGCCACTTTTGGCGTTCGTTTGCAGAAGCACGAGCATCATTTTTAGTGGCCTCTCCATCTTGCTCGGATGCCAGTTGTTGTGGCATCCTTTTCTTGCTTCTGCAGAATTTCCGCTAGAAACGGACCAAAAAGAAAAGGCAGTGGCTTCTGATTCCGTTGGCCAACCAAGAAACAAAGAAATGGGTTCCCAACCAAGAAACCAAGAAGCTGGTCACAAATGGCCAACCCAGAAACCGGGTCTGGGTCCCTTCCCGCGCTGTCGGCTGACCGAGGCACCAGCACTCGATGCCACTGGCCAGTACAACGGGTGCCAGCTTGGCGGAGGCCGTCAGCCTGGAGGAGGAGCTTTGGGTCGAGGGAGCCCAGTTTTCGGTGTGGGGCCCAGTGGCTTTATTTTGGAAAAGGCTTCCTTGGATGGCCTGGATTGGTTGCATTGGCTGGCAAATGGGAAACCAGCCTGGGACAGAGAACCTCCAGCTCACAGTTGCTGTGGGACGACTTGGGTTCACTCGGCCAACAGCAAACGAGCTCTGCTCAGCGCAAGCGCGTCGTGACAAAAAAGGCAGTCCAAGCACTCGCCTGCTCACTGGGAGCCCCGCAAGCTGGTCAGGTCCGCCCGCACTGCCAGCATATTGGCAAGACAGCAGGACATGCTAGCTAGGGCAACCCAAAAGGCTGTTCCCGCAGCTTGAGGGAACAGCCTTGGGCGTCTCAAGGCTTTGTCCCGCACACGCGCCAGTCCCTCATGGTCCCCCTGTGACCTGCACACAGCACAAGCAGTATGCCCTTGGCGTCAAGAGCCGCAATCAAAGCGGTCCCAAAGAGGAATGGCTGCGAAGATCCGCCCTTTGAATATGTAAATGGTTTTAAGTGCAGACCCCTTGAATGCAAGGTTTTGATTGTGAGGCCCCCCCCTCCCCCACACGTGAGCAGTATGTAGTATGCAGAGAGGCCTGCCATGGAGCCTGCGCTTCGGAAAATGCGAAACCAGCTTTCTCACCATAGATGCCAGGACTCTCGAAATGTAACAAACACCGAGGAAAGGCTGGAAACTAAATAGGCCATCCACAAGGAAATGTGGTCGAACCAAGGCTTTCTTTTGTTGGGGATGGTAGTGTTTGTGTTGCATCGGGCTACCTCGATCTTCCCTATTTGTTCATGGGCCTGAAAGATGACCAGGTTCCCCGCTGCGGATGGCAGTTTCTGGCAGAAGTGTCAAAGACCTTGAAGCCACACGTGAAAACCGAATTCGCCAGGGAGCATTGCGGGTGCTTTTAAGGGATTCCGAATGTGCTTGTTACTTTGAACTTCAAAGGCTTCCATGTTTTCTGACCCCAGCCAAGGGACGCCTTTCAAATGGGTGCCTTTCTGTGGAGTTCAATAGCACGTCCCACATCCGGCCCAACTCACCATTTGGCAACAAGTCAGCCCCGGGCGCCCCCAATTCTGGAGCAGGTTCTAAGTTCGGAGCGAGAGCACTTGGGCACCTTTACTGCGCGCTCCTTGCGGCCAATTTGTTTTCAGCACCTTCACTTCCCCATTGACTGCAATTTTGTCATTGGTCCTGCTACCGTGCCCCATGCAGCTGTCTTTTGTGTGGTGTGTGCGTGCCTGTGTGTGCGCGGCGGTGTGCAACATGCTGCGTTGTGCAACATCCCTCGCAAATCAGCTGAGAAGGGGACGGCGAAGGGACGGCCAAACAGGCCTGCACAGTTGGATAGAAGGATGGTCCGATGGTTGTGGCACTCGCGTTTGGCTTCTGGTTCGCGGGGGGGTTGGGCAAGGCAGACGCAATCCCTCGCTCTTCCCTTTCGCAGGACATTTATCCGGTCCAAGTGGATGTGAATGTGGAGGATACTGCCAGCACAACTGAGTACAGGCTCGAGTCGACGTCAAGAATCAGCTGGTTGACCCTCACGAGTTGGTCCATTTGTATGGGCCATCCATTTGGCACTTGAGGAAGGAGCAAAGTTGCGACTCGTTGGCAGCAACTGTTTGCGCCTGGCTGGCATGGCTACTTTTTGCCTTCTGGGTAAGTTAGCTTCCTTATCCATTTGGGTAACTATGGAGAGCTCACCCAGAGGTGCAAAACAAGCTCACCCATGATGAAGATTTGTTTAGATTAGGGAACTAGTAGTTAGTGCATATTTTGGGCTTGCCATTGCTTGACATCAGGTGCAAGCCACGCTGGGGAGAACTTTCAAACCCGTCGCAGGCAGCATGGAAACCTGCCGTCTCGAGCTCAACCTCGAGTCTCATCCAAACCGCAGCACGAGCAACGGGACCTAACGTTAGGGAACGCACCCCCTCCCAGGGCACAGTTGAGTCGGATGGGTAGGCCCAAACTTCACTGCGCGCAGCCGAGCAGAAGAATGCATCACACGACAAAAATGAGGGCCCCAAGTCAAGAAAGCGCGCATATACGCCCAAATGTCGTACCAGCCGCAAGTGCAAACCACAGAATCACTTTCTCAAATCGCTAGCGTCCCCTCCCCGGGCTCCATGGTTGCTGAAAGGAATGTGTCCTTCTCGAGGCACTTGAAGGTTTTGCCATTCGGGCCAGAAGCGCGACTGGCGTTTCACGGATCGGCGAAAGTGTTTGTGCAGACAAGTCCTACTTCAGAAAGTAATGCAGTTTGGTTGGTTGGAATTTTCAGGCATGCTGTTGCCTGTTGCTTCAAGTTGGCTTTTTCCCCCAGATGTCGGATGAAATTGCGTCTATCAGATACGCGCAAGTGACCACATCGAGTGACTTGGGATTGTGGAAAGCTGTTTGCAGGGTGCAGGTGTTGAAGTACGGGGTCCTACCAGAGTCGATTACCTTCTCCGGCCCCTCGGCTGAAAAAATCGAGCGGTTCCTTTCCAAGCCTCTCGGGTGGGCCTTCAAAAGGCGGTGCTGTTTGAATCTTGGCGGGGCTCAGCTATGTGCGTTTGGCAGGAGAGAAGGTGACAGTCCAGTATGGAATACCCACCAGCAGGGACATGACTGCAGGTCCTTGGAAATCAGTTTTCCTCTTCACATGACCTTCTGGTGGGTTGCTTGGGTGGGAGGCTTAATATTAACTGCTGGTCATAGTCATGACAAGCCCCCGGCATGGCACCCCTGATGAAGTTGGTCGTCAAAAGGGGGCCTGTCGCCGATTTTGGGCCCCCGCTCTGTTCAACACTCAGTGTTTTGTTCATGGCCCATGCGGCAAAGGCAACGTGCACAGAGGTTCAGAACGAGCTGCCTTTCAATGTACCACGCCGCGCTCGGTAGTAGAAATGGTTGAGCATGGCACGCCACTAACATGGAGCACCGCAAGGTACCGCTTCAGAACAACATGCATTTTCAGGCACCCGCTCAGGCCCATTTGAATGTGGGGCAGGGTTTCTTCAGCGTTCCTTTTGTTTCCCTTTCGGTTGTTGACGGCCACCTTTAGGCCCAACTTGCAACTTCCTCGTGTAATGCTCAAGGGGGATATAGGCCCTGTTTCTGACTGCCCCGCTCGGCGCTCGGCTGAGGCACCACAAAGTCCGGAAAGAAGTTCCATCGCTGCGTCCCATGGGGTCCCTTGGCTTGAGACGGGGGGGCGTGGTACAGTACTGCATCTCTAGCGGGCAGGAAGGATTTGCTTTGGGAATTCCTTGTCTGGTTGGTGGCAGAAAGAAACTAGTCCAGCTTGCACGGTTTGCAAAACCCATACCAGACAGATAGATAAACAGATGGGGAATGTAGGCATACGTGTTGCAATTATGTTGCCTACAAGCAAAGAACCTACGAAATACAGTCAATCAGGAGCCTGCAAATTTGTACTGCGTACATACGTTACCTTGGGCGGGGTGGCGGGGTAAGTCATGAATAATCCTATTTTGCTTGTGAATTGGTTGATTGTTTGGATTTGCACGCCTTTTTGAGGCAGAAAGATCTCTTGCTGCTGGGAATGTCCCAGCTGGTTCCACGCCCAGAGTTGATTAAACACAGGCTTCACTTCAATCCCTGGTGGCAAGGGGGCTTGGTGCTATGTTTCAGGTATTTGTGTGTTTGCGCGAATCCTTCCTGCGCGGATCTCTTAACTGTGGTGAGATGATGCCACAGTTGCGTAGCGAACCCTGGGGATGGCAATGAAGATGGGGAGGTGGCCACTTGGCAACTGATTACTTCGGCTCCACCATTTGCACATGGCACCGAAACAATGTTGCCCCTGAACACGGGTCGGTCATTCGCACCGGAGACGTTAACAAAGCCAGAAATGCAAGAGCTGAACTACCTTAATCAATGCATATGAATGCCTTCCTGATGGCCAACCCTGGCCGTGCTATGCAGTTCACGCCTTAGTTGAGTGCTCCCTCACATCCCTCGCATCTCTCGCAGGGCGCAGATGCTCGAAGGGCTTCAAGCCTCAGAGTAGCTTCTAGGCCTTGCGGCCAGGCATTCCTGGCCTCCAGTGTTTTCTCGGCCCATTTTCTGACGCTCTATCGTTCATCGATCAACGCTCTTATCCATCCATATCCACCATATCCACAATTGTTCATCTATCATTCATTTGTCGTTCATCTATCCATCCTTATCCACAATTCGGCTTCATGGCTTGTTCGGGTCCACTCCCATGAGCAAAGCAGCGTTGTGCCTCCGTGTCCGAGGCTACCTGTGGAGCGCCAACCCCCTGTGGGTGCCTGAAGGTCTCAAGAGTTTGGAGGCGAGCCTCCACTACTCCCACTATGTGATAGCGCTGCCCTGGTCCAAGCACCTGCCTCAGAGTGTCAGGGTGTCCCTGATGTTTGCGTCCGGGTTCTTGGGTTTCGTTCTGGTCTCCTTTTCTCATCCAAAAGGGGATCCCCATTGTCAGCGCGCAACTGGTTGCTGTCCTTCCCTTTGGCTTTGGCATCCTAATTCCGACATACAGACAGGATGCAGAGCAGCAACTTGCGTGTCCTGAGTACGCCCAGTTATGCAGCACCACTGTTTTCCAGTTGTTTAAGCTGACTCCCTACCAAGCACTAAACTACTCTTGTTGAACCGTCCTATTTGTTCCTGGGACTCCGCGATCCAAATGGAGCGCATATGCCTTGGAAAGGACGGTCATCCATCTTGTTTGAAGATGGCGTTGTGCCCTGACAAAGGGATGGGGGATGCCTCAGGGAACGCCGACCCTTTCCTACAGAGCCCTGCCTTTCGCGCACTCTGTTGTTGTTTGTCGTCAATCTCGTGAAATTGAGGGAGGGCATATTATTTGTTATCAGCTTTGTTTCTATGCACAGCGATTCCTTCCCTTGCCAGCCCCTTGCTCAAAACTTGAGCTCCACCTGTGGAGGGCGTTCTCAGGCCCCACGAGGATCGGTTCACGACGACCTTCATGCCGAACACGACAAAGGATGATTGCGAGCGGCAATACCTGAGACTCCACACTGCAACAGCCCAGCACTCATCGCAGCTTGTCTTAGGCCAGTTCGGGCAGTACACGGCATATGCCTTGCCTGGCTTGCGCATGGCTAGTCACTGGCTTCAGACAACGCGCTCAAAGGCTTGCGGCATAGGCGTGCACATTGGCACCGCAGTGACGTTCAGGCATCTGGATGCTGATGTTTTCCCCGGTGAGTGGGCCCTTCAAACCCTGAAAATGCCCAAACGCATTTCGGCCCAAAAAACGCGTGTAGGCTGGTGCAAGTCCAGATGCTGCCCCGCGATTCCTTTGAAGTAGTTAAGTGCCATGGTTCCGACCTTGCTCCCCCTGGTTTCTTGCGTAAAAAGCCCCAAACTGTCGCCCTGACAGCAGCTGGACCAATCGATCCTTCCGTGGGACCCACTTTTCTCGCTTGTTCTCCGTGAATGTAGGAAACAGCCACGAGCCATGCCCGGAAGCAGGCTTTGAGTCCTGACAATGTACTCAGCCCTTCTTGCCCCTGGCATAAGCTCAAGCCAAGGACTGGTGGCTGCTTCAAGGTTACGCAGCGCTTTGCCCGGAATGGGGACTCTTGTGTGGATGTGTGTGTGTGTTCATGGTGAACCTGTTAGACAACAGATTCCCGGTCGAGTCACGGCCACGCCCCACTGCAGTGTTGGCAATGACGGTGTGTGGCAAAGGCAGCGGATGGGAAGCTGATAGCTGTAGCTAGACAGGCTGGCACTGCGATGTGTATTTAATGTTTCGCAGAATCGGATCCGGTTGCTTCGGAGCAAGCAATGTCGCTACAGCTGATCCAGTGAATTGCCATTCGGAACGCGACAGATTAATAGTTCACTTAACACGCGGCCCAAGTGTTCACAAAGATCCCCTACATGGAGCATTTGGGAGTGTCACAATGTTTGGTGTCGCAGGGTCCCCCGTGTCCAGTCAATTGCCGTGGCCGACGCAGTGTCGATGGACAAAGGGAAGCTGATAAGATTTGCAGTGACCAATCTCCGGCGTAAATCAGACAGACAACATTTGACAACAGTTTATGCCATAAGCTCAGTGCTATGCTTACTCCCAAGCGTGCGGTTCTTCGCTGGCTTGCTGCGACAGGACCACAGCAAACCAATTCACCGAAAGCTACCAACAACATTGGAGAATGTGGCGTTTGCTCGCTTGTGATCCAGGGCCATTTGCTGCTGGAAAGCAACCTTTTGGGGCCACCAATTAGGAAACTGTGCATTTGTAGTTGCAGAGGTCGAGGGTAAGATCTTTTGGTATCGCAGCATCTTCAAGACCAGGTGAAAAACACCGGCCAACCAATTCAGCGGGACGCCAATTTGAACCAACACACACAGCCACTTGAAATGATACTTTTAGTGCAAGGCCCTCCTGGAGAATGTGCGGGCAGACCAGCAGCTTGACAGATGGACGGGTCCATCAGGCAACCTCCCATACTGTGGTCAAATTCCTGCACCAGCTGCTAACCTGGCAGATGGTTTATCACAGTATTCATGGGGCTTCATTTGTCCCGACTCATGAGGCTGAAGGCATTTCAAGATACGTTTGACTTGCTTGTTGAATCATCGAATCATCCTTTGTTCAGCAATCATGGGCGAACAGATTACTTTGAAAGGCTACAAGGGCGCCGGCCAGTCATTATCCGCTGGTTGCCTTCATTTGCCGGCAGTCTTCCAATGTAGCTATGCACTCATACGTACATATATCGAAGAGGTCCCCTGCCTACTCTATGATGTTTAGAAATGGGGCACCCTTCGAATTCATGGACTCTGGGATGACATTGAGACCTGACAGGGACCTCACTCGTGAAGGCTCCTTTCTTCCGGGTGGATTCTTCTAACTCACCCAGTTGGCTTCCTTTGAGCAGCCTCCGCTGATGTTGTGCCAGATGATCTTAAGCTTGGTGAACCACAAAATGGGGGAGTTCAAGATAGGACGTGTTGGGGAAAACTGGGAACTGTTTCAATGCCTCGACAAACCATGCACTTGGACGCACCAAGGGTGTGGTCCGAGCTCCTTTTACTCGTGGGCATCCCCAGCATACCTAGCATACATGGCCAAGACATGCATCGCTAAATGCCCCAAGGACCTCAGCCGTAGCTAGGCTACCGGGGTGTACACTCAACGTGCTGTGATCGTAGCGGCATGCAGCCAGCTGACCAAATGAACTGGGGGGCAAGAGAAGACAAATGTGACGGCAAAGATGCGTACATTCGCTTGGCCAATTGTAGACATTTGCGAATCTCAGGTGGGAAAGCGACTGACGATTTTCTGAAGATGCTGTCCGGCACCATCCACGGCGCCATTTGCGTGCCCTGACGCACTGTTGGTATGCTCAAGGGATGGCCTTGGAGCCCCTCCGCGTTCCGGGAAGCAAGGCTGCCTTTCTCGACGTCAATCTCTGAAAGGCTCCTCTTCAGATCAAGCTACCGCAAAACCTGGCTATCGCTTCTCCAGGCACAAGCTACAGAAGCGACAGGACGTTGCAGCACTGCAGACGTTGAAGCAGTTCGCAGGTCTTTGAACGCGATTTCGATCATTTGAGGCGGAGCTGGTTGCGAAACCTGCCAATGTGTCGAGCACCAGTTCCCACCCCTGGCACATGTGTGACGTCCAACGGTTTCCCATGTTTTGCAATGGCTTCCGGCCAGAAATTGGCGAGGGAGGGCAAACAGCGCCACGTTGTCATGTGTAACAAATTCGGAAATTGTGCATCTCAATGCAGGCACGGGGCTTTTTCCCGGAAGCATTGCGAAGGGTTCTTCTTCTAAAAGCGGCTGCCAACTTCACCTGCCAACTTCTCATGCCAACTTGTCGAGAGTTACTTCACCTGCCAACTTCTCATGCCAACTTGTCGAGAGTTACTTCACCTGCCAACTTCTCATGCCAACTTGTCGAGAGTTACCAACTTGTCAACTTCTCATGCCAACTTGTCGAGAGTTACTTCACCTGCCAACTTCTCATGCCAACTTGTCGAGAGTTACTTCACCTGCCTACTTCTCATGTCAACTTTTTGAGAGTTACTTCACCTGCCAACTTCTCATGTCAACTTTTCGGCTGTTATCTCATTCTACTAAAAGCACAAGCTAATTTGTCGGGTGTTACTTCACTATCCTAAAAACACAAGCTAACTTTTCTGTTCTACCTTCACATCTCGACTCTTAATTCTTCTTCTTTTTATGGCGGGGGTAGGCCCGACGGGAGCTTACGAAACGCACCCCTCTGCGGAGATCGTGCGTGTCGAAGCGCTCTCGCTGTGGCGCCGTGCGAATTTGTCTTGACCGGCGAACCCTCTGCGGAGATCGTGCGTGTCGAAGCGCTCTCGCTGTGGCGCCGTGCGAATTTGTCTTGACCTTGGCGAACCCTCTGCGGAGATCGTGCGTGTCGAAGCGCTCTCGCTGTGGCGCCGTGCGAATTTGTCTTGACCTTGGCGAACCCTCTGCGGAGATCGTGCGTGTCGAAGCGCTCTCGCTGTGGCGCCGTGCGAATTTGTCTTGACCTTGGCGAACCCTCTGCGGAGATCGTGCGTGTCGAAGCGCTCTCGCTGTGGCGCCGTGCGAATTTGTCTTGACCTTGGCGAACCCTCTGCGGAGATCGTGCGTGTCGAAGCGCTCTCGCTGTGGCGCCGTGCGAATTTGTCTTGACCTTGGCGAACCCTCTGCGGAGATCGTGCGTGTCGAAGCGCTCTCGCTGTGGCGCCGTGCGAATTTGTCTTGACCGGCGAACCCTCTGCGGAGATCGTGCGTGTCGAAGCGCTCTCGCTGTGGCGCCGTGCGAATTTGTCTTGACCTTGGCGAACCCTCTGCGGGAATCGTGCGTGTCCGCTCTCGCTGTGGCGCCGTGCGCATCTGTCTTGAGCCCGATGAACCCTCTGCGGAGATCGTGCGTGTCGAAGCGCTCTCGCTGTGGCGCCGTGCGATTTTCTTGCTCGCGAAACGGCTTTTGGAAGTTGTCTCGTGGTGTGCGCGCCTGCTTTCGCAATCCCGCGGTCCCGGGTTCGATTCCCCCCTGGTCCGCGGCAGCTCCGGCTTGAAAATCGCAGCTTTTAAGTACAAACGTAGTACGCGGAGCGTGCTCCTGCAGCTCCGGCTGGAAAATCGCAACTTTTAAGTACAGACGTAGTACGCGGAGGCTGCTGCAGCTCCGGCTGGAAAATCGCACTTTTTAAGTACAGACGTAGTACGCGGAGCGTGCTCCCGCAGCTCCGGCTGGAAAATCGCAACTTTTAGATACAAATGGCTGGAAAATCGCAACTGTAAATTGCAAATGTAGCACGCGGAGCGCCTCCGCCGCTCCAGCTTTTTGAGGGTTAATTACTTCACCTGCCAGTTTCTCATGCCGAAACTTCGAGAATTACTTCACCTGCCAGCTTCTCATGCCACCTTTTCGAGAGTTACTTCACCTGCCAACTTCTCGTGCCAACTTTTCGAGGAGTTACTTCACCTGCGAGCTTATCATGCCAACTTTTCGAGAGTTACTACACCTGCGAGCTTCTCATGCCAACTTTTCGAGAATTACTTTACCTGCCAACTTCTCATGCCAACTTTTCGAGAAATACTTTACCTGCCAACCTCTCGTGGCAACTTCACCTGCCAACTTTTCGAGAATTACTTCACCTGCCAACTTCTCATGCCAACTTTTCGAGAAATACTTTATCTGCCAACCTCTCGTGGCAACTTTTCGAAAAATTACTTCACCTGCCAGCTTCTCATGCCAACTTTTCGAGAGGTACTTCACCTGCCAACATCGCCTGCCAACTTTTCGAGAGTTACTTCGCCTGCCAACTTCTCGCGCCAACTTTTCGAGAATTACTTCGCCTGCCAACTTCTCATGCTAACTTTTCGAAAGTTACTTCACCTGCCGGCTTCTCACGCCAACTTTTCGAGAGTTACTTCACGCGCCATCTTCTCGTGCCAACTTTTCGAGAATTACTTCACCTGCCAGCTTCTCACGCCAACTTTTCGAGAGTTACTTCACCTGCCAACTTCTCATGCCAACTCTTTGAGAGTTATTTCACCTGCCAACTTCTCATGCCAACTTTTCTCTTGAGTTACTTCGCCTGCCAACTTCTCATGTCAACTTTGCGAGAATTACTTCACCCGCCAACTTTGCCAGCCAACTATTCGAGAGTTACTTAACCTGCCAGCTTCTCATGCCAACTTTTTGAGAATTGCTTCGCCTGCCAACTCCTCATGCTAACTTTGCGAGAGTTACCTCACCTGCATCAACTTGCCTCTATGCTTCCGGGCCACTCGTCGTCTAGTTGACAAATAGCACCCTTGCTTTCCTTTCGGGCCAATCAATTCGCATACATGGGAGCGATGGAAACCTTTAAAAGGGGGTTCTGCGTTCCCATGGCCGGTGAGCAACTGAGATTGACTTCGATCTTCGGGTGTCTCGCTTTGGGGTCGTCTTGAAAGGGAACCAAAGGCTGCCATTTCAGCGGCGGCAATGGCGGCATGAGGTGAGACATTGGCAAGCCGAAGGCGAGTGCCAGCAACTGGAGAACGCGGGGGCATCAGTGCTCACCACCAAGCAGCTCGAAGCGGAAATCGGAGCAGTTTCACTTGGGTGAGCCGTTCAATGCGTTCTGAGGTTCAATAAATGGGTTCCGTACGTTCCTTGCGGATGCTACACGCATGATTGGCCGTTGGTGCAAGCTGGAACACGTTTGTTAGAGCCCGTTTAGGGTCGCCTTCAGTGGAACTGTCCATGAAAAATCCGCATGTGCAGCTGTTACTCCAACGAGGACGGCCCTTTTTGCATGCAAGCACTGAATGGTGGGAGCAAATTTCAGTGAAGGGTATCACCAGTCGGTCCATGACGGTTGTGAATGAACTTAGTCAGCCCTGACAACCCACTGGAATTCGGTTAAGCAGCATGTGAATTCACAAACGCCCTCAGCATGCTCTTGCGTTGCATGCTATTGAGAACATTGGGCTCAGCACGCTCCCGGAAAGGACAGCATTCAATCTCAAGCCTCCTGTGTGGACTGGTAGGGGCAGCTACGTGTGCCGAGGAACACGTCCAAGTTCCTGCCCAGACCTTACGAGGATAGCTGGGAGGACTGGCTGGGCCAAGCAAAGACCATGTGAGGCATGGTCGGGCTGAGACGAAAGCAATGGATTCTTTTGTGAGGTTAGGGTCATGGTTCATCATGTTGCCTGGCGTTGGGACCCTTTCTTGTGACAAGCGCCACTGCACATCAGGCCTGAAAGCCAATATCCACCATTTCGCAAGCATACTCACAAGAAAGTGACGCACATGAACCACCTCTGGCCCTGAAGTACTTGTAGCTGCACATGTCTAAATCGAAACCGAACGGCCAGAAGGCCTGTTTGGTCCTTACTAGGGGCATTGATTTGTGACGGCATTTGCATCTTGCCTGAGCTGGTTGCAAAGGCATGGACACTCACGGGCCTTCCTGCCACCACCCCCCAACATCGCTTGGGATTGTGGATGTGTCCTGCCAGCTTGGCTGTGGATCATAACTTGTGTAATTAGTTGCGGGTTGTACTCTTTTCCGCCTCAGAAAGAAGAAGAACCACGCAAACTGGGTGCCACATCACTCCCAAAGAAAGCCATTCCAGGATATGTGTCTTTTTTCAGACCCGGTGTTTAGCACCCGGAAAAGACAAAGTTCAAGCAGATTCAAGCAGATTGCTACACGGGCTAAAGCCTCAAGAGCGCGTATTCACAGGGCAACATCCTTTGTGAAGAGCCGCTTGTGCTTGTTCTGCGTCAGTCTTCAGAGGTGAAGGCGAGGATATTTCCAGGCTTTTCCGGCAAGTGAACTGCTTCCCTAGAGAAAGCGTCCTCGGGACCCTTGTGCGATTGCAGGGCATGGGGCCTCGTGCCCCGGGCCTGATTCACCTTGTGGTTGCGGCGAGGACTTTCTGACTCCCCGATCCAGCCCATTCTTCAGGACTAAAGTAACTCAGGTAAGTGTTTGGGATATTGCCGTAGGGTTTCGGTCAACTTGAGCGCTCAGGAGGGCCACTTCAGCGTGCAGCTCGACATGATGGTGGAGAACACGATGCCTCTCGGCAGAGGTTGCGGTCGAGGTGGCGCCAGGGGAAGTGGGAGCTTTGTTTGGGCCACTTGAGGTTCCGTAGTCTGGCAAACGGCTGAGCTGAGATCACTGAAATTGTGCATAAATGCGCCATCGTTACCGGAGTCTAGCCGAAGATACATTGGCACTTGTTTGACCAAACGGTAACTTAAAAAAAAAAAAAAAAAAAAAAAAAAAAAAAAAAAAACTAGCGCCTAGAGACAGATTTGGCGTATAAGACACAAAATCAAAAATGCTGGTTGCAAACCCCACCCTCTCAGGCGGTCAATTTGACTCGAGGTGCCCGAAGCGACGCATGTGGCAAAGGGTTTGGGGGTGCTGGCCACAGGCATTCAACATACGGGAATTGGCCAGCTCCCTGGTGCCTTGGCCCACAGGTTCAAGCTTGAACCTTGTCCTACCTGGTTCGAGACGACTTGGGAGTTTTTAAGCCGAGGTGGCATCTGGGGGGAGGGTTCACTTGGGTGCACTTCCGACACCCAGACCCGACCTGCGCATTGCGCAAGCTGTCGCGGAAAGGTTCAGAATCCTGGACTCAAGAAGTTTGTACTCACCCATGCAGGCTTGAGGGTGTGGTGGGGGGGGGGCACAATGGGCCGCGGTGTGCTTTCTTCATTTGAGGCCCTTGCCTCCTCGGTGTGGTTGGTTTGTTTGTTCTGTTTGTTTGTTTCTGGTGTTCCTTTCTGGCTTGGGCGGACAACCATAAAGATCGCAAAGCGCTCCAACCCATCCTTTGCCCATCCGGGGCGCAGACCGTGCTGCCGCCTGTTCGACCGCAAGGTGTGGATGGTGTGGCATCGTGCCCGCTCCTTGTTGGAAAGGCCACATGTGCAACCCAAGTTCTGAGTGCCAACTCTACCTGGCAAAGCTGGCGAATGAAAAGAGCACTTTTGACCAGGTGTCCAAAGCTTTGGCCTGTGGCCGGCGGTTTTTGTGTTTGCACCCTTCAGGTCAGGTTCGCTGGTCATGGTCCCAAGAGGTTCACCTCTCATCTCCACAGCTTTGGGACAAATCAACTCGCGGATCGGCTTGATGAGCTCAGACTGTTTAGGGAGGTTCCGGGGCCGCTAACCCATGTCACGCTTCCTTTCGCAGTGAATCCCAGAGTCCCAGAGCCAGAGCTTGGTACCAAAACTGCGAGCACAAGGTGTTCGATAACCGACCTTTCCTTTTTCGCCTTCCCAGGTGGGTCCATTTCCAGAACTCCCAATCGCTTGTTTTGTCATGCTCGGCTCTTTGGACAGCGCCTTTTAACAATAAATCATAATTTTGTCGCACTTCCACAACCCAACCAGATCTGAACATAGACACCTCATTCTGCGTGGCTGCATCCATTTTGGGGGCCGATGCTGCGACCCTCCTTATGGGAGCGGGATGTTCACGATGACCGTGTGTCAAACAGCATCTTTGCTCATTCCTAGCAAGGGGAAGGGGGGAAGGGGCCACCGAGAATGGAAAATTGTTTCCCTTGCCAGGCCCCAAATTCGCTGGCCACACAAGATCTAGAGAGCATGGCCATGGTCAGGAATTATAGGTTGATCAACTCATACCAACTTCCCTTCCCATTTTGACCCCGGGTTCAACCCGTTTGTCACAGCCCGTGCTCGAGTGACCACAAAGTTCTGATGGGTCAGTTTGAAGTGGCGGGTGGCTCTCCAGGGCATTACCCTCACCTATCAGCCCCTCACCAGCTATCAGCTGTTCCACATAGCGGCGTTCAGTCCAGGCGTGAAGGCGCAAAACATGGGAAGAGACTGTCATGGGCTTCCGGAAGTCAGCCTGTATTGGTCCAGACCTCCAGTGGTGCCATGATTTTCTCTGGAAGGGGTGTTGCCTTTTTCATCAACGGCCAAAAATGGCCATGTTTCGCCTGAGCACTGAAGCCTGGATAATTTGAAGCACCTCACCGCAGACTTGCCGCGGCCTCCAGCTGCGGCTTTACATTTGGGGTGGTTCAGTGAAGCACCAAGCCAGTAGCACAGATGGCCGATGGGAAGAACCGGCCAGACATTCCCTGTCTCCAAGACTTGTTGCGACTCGGAAAGCCAATTCCTGTCGGCACGAGTTACCACGAGCTTTTTTGGGAGGGAAAGGAAGCTCACAGGTGACTTTGTTGGGATCCCAAGGTGTTTTTGGACCAGCTCTTTTTTCCCTTGGTGTACTTCCCCCTGGCATCCCAGAAAAACAGTCACATGCCCTTGTACCTTCATGTGCTGATGCATAGGCCCCGTAAATTGCAAAGGGTCTCAATCAAAACAGGGATAAACCGCCAATCAATTGGTGCAGGATCTGGTGCTTCATGAGTTAGGGCTGCATCCACCCGAACTGGTGCCAGGTTGATTTTGCCCATCATCACCGTCCCAGCTTTGGGAGACCCCCAAACCCAGCCTTGGGAAGCCTAACTTCATCTAACTTCACTCCTTGTCTGTTATGGTTTTCTGGGTTTTGCCCCATGGGCAAAGAAAACCGCCAGTTTTTTTTTCGAGCCCACACGGGCTGAGCCTAAAATGCCCAGGGGGGCAAATCTTTTTCGGTCGCTGCCAGGTTCGCAGCGGCGGATGGGACCCCGAGATCAGCGACCACGACTCCTACAACGGCCAGTGGCGCCTGAAGGTCTACGACTCCCCCCGCTTCAAGCAGGAAGCTTGGCCGCTCCCATGTTGAGCTTCGGTCTTGGGGCAGGCGTAAAGGGGGAAGACCCATGTTCGGGAATTTTGAGGCAGGCTTAAAGGGATACCAAAAAAAAAGAAGACACCAAAGAGGACAGCGATTTTGAGAGGTTGCCCAAACTTGACAATGATGTGATTTGTATCAGTTCTCATTCTATCTTTGCATTTCTCTGTCTATGTCTTTGTCATTATCTTTTTTATGGCTGTTCAATCTATTCAAAAATGAGATCAGAGAAGATGGAAGGTGGCATACAGAAAGGAACATAAATATCATGTCAAGATGGTCTAAGATAGTTAAGGATGTTCATGTAGGAGACTTAGATACGATATGATGAATGAAAATAACAGGATGCCATACTTGTAGAATGGTATCTCTCCCTCATATCACTCCTGCATTTGGGAACGCAAAGAAACTCGGGATTCATAGGAATGCTGTACTATCATCATGTGTCTCATTCATTGGCAGCACATCATAATGAAAAAGAGCTGGAGGCAAAAAGCCCTTGCAAATAGCACTCACTATCTTCTCGCTATTGGATGTCAAGGGCTTGGAACTGTTTTCATTCATCTTCCTTCCTCATCTTGTTTCTTTCTCCAGGCCAAGCTGCATAAATGATATGTCACGTCTCCGTCTTCTCCCGTTCTCAGTTTCAAACTGAAAAGAGAAGCATGAAGCAAACAAAATATAGATGAGGGCGGACACAGATTAAGATTGAAATGGTGGATATCTTCTTTTGTCTTTACACCGCATCGACCTGCAACCAAAATAAGATGACAATGAAAAAGCCATAAAGACGCCAAAGAATGAAACAGTTTCAGGTTTATCGCTCAGCTCTTTGCATCTCCTACAACACAAACATTCTTTTGATAAGAAAGCAGACAATTTAGATAATGGGTTTCAATTTTCACATAATAGACAATACTATAGACAAATGACACACAAATAGGGGAAAACACAATGCAATTTCTAGTTTAGAAAAGAACAAAGCATTGGGGAATACCCCCTATTCCGAATAGCGGGTTAATCCTTACATATCCATCTTATCCCTGTTCCCAACCAAAAATCTATACATTCAAGACACGCAAGATCCCTTTAAAGCCTTTACAAGGAAAATGGTCTTCCAGGACCTCCGCTCCTGTCAGGTTCCATGATTTAATTGGTGGGAAGGTAATTACTGTGAAAACGTGAGCTTGCAGGCCATCAGACCTCATGCCACTTCCGGCATCGTCTGGCTCAGGAGATCCCAGAGCCTTAGATTTCTTCGCACGGGCGAGCCGCCCTGATGGAAAAGCGCTGCACGCGTTGAGCAGGCGTGTCTGCGAGTTGGCAGCGGAGCCTGCCGCAACCCATGTGGTCGGGCGAGGACGACGACCTCCTCCCGGATCTCTTCGAGCACGAAGAGCCTTGGAAGCGAGATGCCGGCCATGAGGCCAGAGCCTCGCCCGAGGAGCCGGAGATCCAGGGCACAAGCGCCTTCAACCTCGCTGCTGGTGACACCTGGCGGTGCTGTAGCTGCGACTCTGACGAGTACTACGTCATCGAGGGCATCTATACCACTGCCGAGAGTGTCAGAGCACTGACCGACTTCTACAACGTGACCCACGCCCAAAAGGAGAGAGACCCGCAATGGAGTCTGGGTATGTGTGCCGCGTGCCGCGGCCGATACACCGAGCCAGACCCCACCTGCAGACAGACTTCCCAATGCAATGGGCATGCTGGAGCACGACCTGAGCGACCCCTACGGACTGGTCCGCCTCGCGACCCGCTCCTGGCTCGGAGAGACTGCAAAGTCTGAGGTGCCCACCATCGACCCAGTCATCGACCCAGATAGCCGAGCAGTCGTACCCGCCGAAGACGGCGCCGAGGCAAGGCACCACCGGCGGAAGGCAAAGACGACAAGCATCTCAAGGCCATCCACGAGCTCGCGGAGGCCACTCCTCGCAGTCTTTGTCGTTTAGGCTTGGACCGGAGAAGGGGGTGAAGTTCCGTTCTGGAGCCTATCCCCAGGCTCCGAGGTGGCTGTACGCCCGCGAGGACGTCCGCGCCTTCTACAAATGGAAGCGGAAGGTGGACCTGTGGCGGATTCAGGTACAGGCGTACCTTCCCAACAACGAAGCTGCGGTTGCTCTTGTACGTCTCGCTGTCCGGCGAGGCGGAGGAGGAAGCAGAGCACTTGGACCTGAAGCTGGTGAGTTCATCAACTGGCCTGGACTACCTCATCGGCGAGTTGGAGAAGGGGCTTCAGTCCAAGGTGGCCTTCCAGAAGCGCAAGCTGCTTGCCGACTACGAGCAGGTCCTCAGGCAGAACAACGAGGGCATCCGCACCTTCGTCAACAGGTACCGACGCAGCGAGCAGGCACTCAACTTATTGGTGAACATCACGGTGAACCGCATGTACGACGATGAGAGCCGAGGCACCCGACTTCTGGATCGTGCCCGCCTCTTTCCGGACAACCAACGTTTGGTCCTCATCGGATCCGGACACAGGCTCGATCTCGAGGCCCTGAACATCGACCTCCAAAATGACGGTCAACCACTACGCCCACATGGACAGCAGGTCGGCCACCAGAGGCCGAAAGGAACCGGACGGCCATACCACACACCCTACTACTCGAAAGACGGCAAGGGCAAGGGCAACTATGCCAAGGACGGAAACTCCGGCAAGGGCCGCAATCACTTCAAGGCCTATCAGACCGAGCGCCAGGATGTTCTCGGCGCAGAGAGCGCCGACATGGACAACCTCGCGGATTACTCAGATGACCTGGCAAGTTTGGCCTTGACCAAACCCGGATCGGGAGGCTTTCTTTGCCACGCAGAACGCCCGAGCCAAGAACGCACCGAAGCCTTCGAGTGGATCTTCAGCGACTCCTTCCACTCTGCCTTTGACACCCTATTTGGAGGAGGAGCTGGAGGAGGAACTCGAGCCCATGGTCTGGGACTCACGAACTCGGACGACAAGGCCAACTACCTCTTCGAGGACCAGTTGCCACTGGCACGGTGAACAACGTCATCGGCAAGATCAGGAAAGCCCGCCACGTCTACACCGCTGAGTACAAGGCCTACGCCAACAAGAACTATGAGAGGACGAAGGTGGATTTGCTCGAGACATTCAGCGGCGCTGGCAACATATCAAGACAGGCATGCGAATATGGTCTCAAGGCCGCGGCCCCGCTCGACTACAACACCGGCTACGACCTAGCCACCAACGAGGGTGCCGCCGCCTGCGAAAGGATGTTGGATGACCTACGACCACTGGTCTTGACCCAAGGACTGGACTGCAAGCTGTGGAGCATCTTGCAGGACAACGTCAACTACCGCGATCGACCTCACGAATCTCGAGCACTCCGGGACGCGCAGCGGCCTTTGTTCGAAAGGCCTGCAGTTGGTGTCAACAACAACTGATCGTACCTCCCGGCTGTGGCAGCAGCCGGAGATTCTCGAGCAGACCAACGGTCGCCTGGCGGCACGAATGGCAAAGGTTAGATGATACGCAAAGGTTACACCTTTGCCTCCAATTCGCCTGAAATTCTGGAGTACCTCAACAACAAGCTGACCGCCGAAGAGCTCAGATCATGCGCCAAGCTAGAGGGGAGCGAGACCACTCTCTCTCAGGGGTACCCCCCTCAGCTCGTCGAGTCGATCCTCATGGGCGTCTGCGATCTGGCAAGAGCCCCCAACGGTTCAGTCGCAACTACTACGTCTACTACTTGAAGCCAAAGCTCGACGAGGAACGGTGGAAGGCGATCTTCGAGGCCGCTGGACACCACATGGCACAGAGTCGACAGAAGTCGCTCCTCATCAACGAGTCCGACCAGATCTTTCGGGAAGCCGCCGCACTGGTGCCATGGGACCTGACCCGCGTGCAAGTGGTTTCACAGCCGCTGGTCTATCGTCATTTACGTCGGCAACGAGGACCGCGTGGAGTTGATCTCGGAAAACGTTACGGACGCGCACTTCCTTCGCGGGCGATTTCCACGGCCAGTTCAAGCCGCGATCTGTTTCTTCGGCACGATTCGGGAGAGCGACGTCCCTCAGGAAGTACCACCGGAAGAGCAACTACCGGAGGACATCGTGGGTGAGAAGTTCCACAACGAGGTGACCTTCCCCGAAGCAAAGTCAGTAGAACGGAGCGCCAAGATGGCATCTCTCGCCTCCATATCAACTTGGGCCACTTGCCGAACCGCGAGACCATCAAGCTCTTGGCGATGAACCGTCTGACTGCTCCGGACCTGCTCAAGGCGGCAAGCTCAATGCAGTGTGAGACTTGCGACCGCAATCGTAAGCTTCCGAAGCCGAGCCAGAGCAATTTGGTCAGTTCGGCGACTCCGTCCAGATCGACGTCTTCTACGTCAGGGATATCCGCTCCAAGAACCACATCGTCTTGGGCGCGATCGACAAGGCGACGCTACTACATATGGCCAGACGGGTACCGTCAAGGAACTCAAAGGACATGGCCACCGCATTTCCCGAGATGTGGATCTCACCATTTGGTTTCCCCCTTCGCGTACACGCAGACCCTGACGGAAGTTATGGCGGCCAATTCCATGAAATGCTAGATCAAGGTGGCACCTTCCTGGACCTGGCACCGGGACTCAGCGGCACAACGCCACCGCTTGAAGCACATCATCGAGCGAGTGGTGGACTCCCGTGGGGTGTTCGAGGCAGAGGACCTCGATCTGGCAATTTACGTTGCGACGCATACGAAGATCTTCTAGGAAGGCCACCATTCATCGCGGCATTCGGCCGCGTCCCCAGGTTGGGCTGACCTCTTGAGCGACGAACGCGCTCTGGTATGCGGAAGCAGCATTGGAGAGGCACAGCAGCAAGCCTCGCTCACCAGGGCCGAAGCCATGAAGGCCCTAGCGGAAGCCTCTGCCTCTTCAGCTTTGCGGAGAGCATTGCTGCACCGCACTAACGTCTCCAAGCTGGACGATCTCATTCCCGGCAGCTTGGTAGCCTACTGGAGGTGGACTATCAGATCCCACAAGAACAAGGGTGGCTGGCGAAGTTCCTCGCCTTGGGCCCGGACGGCAAATCAGAACCGCACTGGGCTTCGAGCAGCGCCTACGCTCTGAAGAGGACCTACGACAACTGCGACAAGCGGAGATACTACTCAGAGGAGCCTCAAGAACTACCACCGGACGACCCTCTCGAAGGAGACTTCGACAACGTGGAAGTCCCCATCGAGAACGAAGACACAGCACAAATACCTCAGGTCCCTTTTCTGCCACCACTGGATCCTCATCCACAATCATCTCAACCGCCAGACCAAGCAGAACCCAGACCTCAACTTACACTACCACCTCCTACTACAACAACCGCAATTTTGGGACCGACCTCAAAAGAAAACAAGAGAGCCGCGCCATTCACGCCATCGCGGCGTATCCAAACCAGACGCGGACGGTCAGGGACCCCTGGCAGAAGGACATCGACCCCGGCACTTCCACCTACACCAACTCCTCACCTAGTACCGGCAATTTCAGAACCACCGCAACCGCCATCGGCGACTACATCCACCTCTAACCCGATTGGATCAGACTCACAGCACAGTCCTCTGCCCATCTAGGCCACTGGCATTGTCAACGGCAAGATCAGATCCATCCGCTCCCAGTGACCTCACTGTGGACGACGTAGGCAACATGGTGCCCCTCACACCGGATGAACCTGATCCACTACTACCAGCCAAACGGACATTCGACGCCATGCAGGTGATCCACGACAACCCAGACATCTTCGAGGTTCTAAAAACCGACGAAGTCGTCCCGCCCCTCGACGGCAACTACGCACGCTGGGGGAGACGACAAGGACTCGACCACCTACCAGACCACTACACGGAGAGGACCTCCTTGGTCGAAAGTTGCCTGGAGGCGCACCTACGACGCCTTCACCGCCGAGCTCCTAGAATCCAAGCACACGGCCGAGATCTACAACCCTCACGCACTACTACCTCAATCACGTGACATCGTCACTGAGTTGTGGTATGAACAGGATCAACCTTACAGCGCTCTCATCGTCAATCATGAGGGCATCACGAGAGTGCGAGACGGATGGGACGGTTCCCCCGACTTGGAGCTGGACAATTTAACCAAGTTCTTCTACGGCGTCTATGTCAACAAGCTCAGGCAGCAGGAGGGCGACTTCGAGAGCACCCTCTCCAACGACGAGTGTGAAATGGCGAACATGTCCAAGGGCCGCACTCCTACGCAGTCTATGAGCAGACGAGCCAAGAAGGCCCTAGAGAAGGACCTACAAGTTCATCAAGGCAGCCAAGACAGAGGAGAAGTCATGGGTGGAGAACAGGAGCATCAAGCCTCTTCACCCCCGGGAAGCTCGCAAGATCTTGGGTGATCCTACCCTTTGGACAAGGATTATCCGCGCCTGCTACCGCGACAAGGCAAAGGCAACTGGCGGCGAGGTGCGAGCAAAGTGTCGTATCGTTGCAGTCGGATGGCTTGTAGGGAGGCGCCTACACCTTCCAGGACATCAGAGATGCTGGTGTACCCCATCTACGCCTCGGGCGCCAACGGCAAGGCCTTCGGGACCAAGGTATCTTTGGCTTGCAGATGCTCAAAAAGCATTTCTACAGGGCCAACAGGACGAATCCGAGCGCGGCGGCGCTCTATACCTACGTGCACTACGAGATCCTATCCTACGCGCAGCTAAGGTCTTCACGGCAGAGCTCTACGTGGTGGAGGGAAATATCTGCGGCCTGCGCAATGCCCCTCTGACTTGGTCCAAAGAAGTATGCAAGCGACTGAAGTCGGTTGGCTTCATTGCCCACAAGTACGACGCCATGCTGTTCTACCTCCCATCGACCTCAAACCCGAGCATTCCTATGGCAGTTGCCTTGGTCTATGTCGACGATTTTGTCGTCGCCAACAGCGATGAGTTCCAGCTCTCCAGCCTCTTTGGGTGGGGCTCGGAGCAGCATTTGGAGATCGATGGCAGGGCAAGGAGGTATTCGCCGAGACGGGCAAGGACAGTGTCTTCATCCTCCTGAACCGCGGAGTTCGTCAAGAACATGACCAGCGGGAAGGTCAAGAGATCCGACCACGACCTGCTCATCAGGAAGGCTCAGTTACTGGATGCTTCCAGTAACTTGCTGGCCAAACACGCCCGGACATTTGCAGTACCGTGAGCTTGACCAGCCTGGGAGAAAAGACCACCTACAAGGAACTGGACGCCCTGCACAAGTGCGTGGACTACCTGAAGAATACTCAGGACGATGGGATCTTCATCCCGGCATCCACTTGGACAGCTGGGCCAACGCCGAGGGCTTCGCCAGTCAACACGGCTGCATCATCGCAAGAGCGGCCGCTCTTGCCGCGTATGCCGCTCCACCTTGGCAGCCGAATCAGTGGCGGCGGATGATGCTGTGGACCGCATGTCCTTTGTGAACATGATGCTGGGCGAGCTCATGACCCAGGTCCCCGCTCACCACGTCGGCTACATCCTCAAGGACATCATCACCACGGACTGTATGACGCTTTGGTTTCCCCGGACACCAACGTGTCGGAGAAGAGGTCCCTGATCAACATCAAGTCGGTTCAGGAGGCCATCCCCGCACTGGGTACCCACCAACTACATGGTGGCGGACAGTCACGAAGCTCGAGGGCATGGATGATGAACCCAGTGCAGGCAATCAGACCTCATGCCACTTCCGGCATCGTCTGGATCCCAGAGCCTTAGATTTCTTCGCACGGGCGAGCCGCCCTGATGGAAAAGTGCTGCACGCGTTGAGCAAGCATGACTGCGAGAATTACAACTAGAAGAATAGACTTCTAATCCTCATCTTTTCCGTCACTCACCCTGTGAGTCGCTTAAAAGAAAATGCGATAATAAACACAACATGATTGTAGAAGAAAGGAAATTAATGGAATCATCAAACCCAAAGAGATAGAGGGATGAAGACAGAGATATAAACAAAATTAATTAACATGGAGACACTCACTTTGGGGCCGGAGTGTCTGTTGTTTGGGATAGCGTCAGAGGGAATCCTATCTGGGGACTTACCCATCCTGGCGGCCCTCCTAAAGTTGCAAAAAGTGCGAGTACACTCCTGGTGAAGCCGAGAAGCTGGGCGAAGCAGCGCATGCAGAAGGGGACGGATTGTTTGTTTCGTTTTTCTACTCGTCTCCAGTTCCTCCTTATTTCCTGCACAAATTGAGCAAACGATTGGAGAGGGTGGTAGCCAGGGTTTACGTGGTGACCCCCTTGGAGGGGCAATTTGCTTGAGGAGATGTCTTCCGGGTCGAGACACTTGACTGAAAGTGAGCATTAGCTGACCAACGGGTGCTGAGAGGCTGAGACGATGGCGATCTACATCTTTTCGACCGACCTGGATTGCTATGTATCATCCCTCAAGGCTGGGGCACCCCTTCCAAGGTCAACGCCAACAAAGTAGGATGCCTTTCACAATATTCCTGCCCTTTGGCCAAGGGCATGGCCTTTCCCACTTCTCAAGCTGCCCTTGCCCGTGCCTTCCCTCCAGAGTTGTCACAGACACGCGCGCAAAAATTGCCATGACCCTTGTTGGCAGCTAAACCGTGAGGTTGCAGGGGTGCCTTTTCCGCCTGTCAGGTGCTCGCCTTGAAGCGCACTTGGAATCTGGAGCCAGCGCCCGTCACAGATGCAGTGTGCGACCTGGACAGCGCCGCCGAGGTGCGCAGAGCGGGCGGCCTGGCGTGCGTCTCGGGGGAAAGCCTAGCATTTGTATGATGAGTTAAAAGCTGAGGGTGGAATTCCGCCACTTGCATGCAACTTGTCAAGAATGTTGCGTAGCTGAGCATATGACACGCGTTAAAGCTCTTTCTACCCTGTTGGGCCCGTTGGGCCCATCATTGGCCATCATGGCCCGTTGGGCGCGTTTGCCCGCTTGCACGTTGTTTGCGGGGCGGCTTTGTATTCCCACGGGCATGCCTCATAATCCTTCAGCTCTGTTTCGAACATCAGGCGGTGTCTTTGCTCAAGATTCCAGAGGGGATTGTTTGGGTCCTTTCCCTTCCCATCCTTTGGCCACCGAGCTGCTCGCTGTCGGCTTCCCAAAGCGACAGGTGTGCGATGACGGCTGGAAACCTACCCGCGGCTTCCAACTGCCCCTGCAGCTGTTCAGGGACGAGTTGAGCGCGCTTCTTGCATCAAAGCCTCACTGTCTGGCAGTCTCAGCCTCGAAGTCACGGAATTCGCAGCACAAGAGATGCATCCTGTAATCAAGGCTTCTGCCGCCTTGCAGGGGCCAATGGGATAATGGTGTTGGACATCTCGATGAGTCATCACTACATTGATCATTGCATGAATGCTTGGGAGAGTTTGTGAGTCACATTGTTCCCGCAAGGTTTCGGATTTGTTGGAGGGCAGAAAGGGGCGTTTGGGATTGGGTATTGATGAGTGCCAAAATCCAACACCTTGTGGTTCCTTTAAAATTGTTTTGGCTGAATGGGGGCCAAGAAAAGGGGGAGCCTGTACTCGGGAGGTTCATTCTCCAAGCCGAAGTGGCTGACGTTCCTCAGAAAAGAAGTGTGCAATGTTTATGCCCTTCATTACTAATGTTCAGCTGGACGAAGAAGTTGACTTGGCCCTGCAAACACAGATGTAAAGAAAGGCACAGCTTTGCCAGGTTCTGCGTTGCAAAAGTGGTTCCCATTTACGCGTTTCGATTTGCATGGAGAACGAGGACTCCTCTTTGACAGGTGGCCTTGAACCTTTAGCATCTTTAGCTCATGAGACGACTTGGGATGTCTTTTGGATTTCGTGGTCACAGAATCTGCCCATTTCGGCCGCGAGGTCGGGGATGCACCCACTTCAGCTGAGGGCCAAGAGGGTGTGTGAGTCCATGGAGGGCATAGAGGACGGAGTGAGCGAGTGGGCAAAGGGTGGGGCCGACTGGTTTAAACATTGGACAACAATTGTTTAAATGGGTGTGGCTCAAAATTAAGTAGCTGGGGGTACGCAAGTTTTGGTCTTTGTTTCCATCTACCAGGGTGCCATGCTGGGTACCATCTTTTGAGCCACGGCCAAACAACCTCCGGTTGTTTTCCGCTTAGGCCTCAAGGCTGGCTGGCTAAACAAATCGTTCCCTGGTGGCGAACTGACTGCTCCACAAATGGGCCCCCAGCTGACGGCGTGAAAACCGCAAGGAATCAGAATATACCGCCCTCATATCATGTCTGCATGTACGGTCAGATGTCATGGCCCGTTGAATCGAGGCTCCGAAAACACGGCCCTCCTTTCAAGTGTCCGAGTTCTGGGAACCAATGTGCATTTGGGATATTTGGGGTTTGTAGGCCAGGGGCACGTAGCCCAGGATTGTCAACTTTGAAAAACCCATAGTGTCACGCCACTTCCAAAGAAAGACCTGGTATTCATGAGCGTCACTTTGCAGATTGTCCTTGCTTGCAGAGTTTGCAGATCATTTGGAGACATGCCCAGACGAGGATCCAAAGCTTGCCCCGAAATTATGGATAAAAATGACGTTCGTCTACCACCCGGAGATGCAACTCTCTGTGATGAACGCCTTAGCTCCGCAACCGGGCAGCACCCGGGCGGGGGGGTGGTCCTAAACTTGGGGATCTCAGTCTGTTGGCTGACCGCTCTCTGTATAGTATGCCGTTGAGGGATTTTGGCTGACACCTGTTGGAGCTCTACTTTCACATAAGCTGTCCTACGGCTTGGGACCTCTCCATGCATATCAACAAACTATGAGGCCTGCTGCATGGAACCTTATCAGAATTCGTAAAATACTTTGCCAATGCTGTTTGTTTGTCGGGTCCTGGCTCCCTTTTAGCTTGGCCAGTCCGGCAAGAACAACCACCCCAGAAAGAAATTCGTGTGGATAAACAATCATGTCCGGTACGTTGTACTTATATACCGGGTTTCCTTTGAGGTTGGTCCGGGGGCCAGTGGAAGCCCTTTGCAGCTGGGGTATCAATGTATTCCCGCGGCTTAAAAGACAACCGCCCCGAAAGCAAACCCTGTAATATAAGTGTAGAAGCAAACACCGCTACAAGAAGAGCTTGAAAGCCTGTCACATGTGCGCAGCTTCGCGCCGGGTCAGATACAAGCACCTTGAATCCAAGGCTTACCATGCAAAGAGGCCTCTCAAACTTGTTGGAATCCTCTAAATACTTGGTGTCAAGCTGATTTGCTCCACACACCTATTGTTGCAGTGCAACTGGACTCATATTCATATTCACCTTGTGTTCCAGCTCAATCGCTATGAGGAAGGCGCTTAAGGCATGCAGGCGACTTGGCATGCTCTTTCACGGGGTTCGCATGCGCTGCCCTATGCGTTTGCAAGCAAGACGCGCAAGGCAAGACGCGCAAGACAACTAGCAAGCTCATATCTGATTAGTGTTTTTCGTGTCCTATTGTCACTTAATCATGAGACACTTGCTGTTTGTGCTGCGTGGTGCAAGTGTCAGGGCCGCTGAGCTCCGTTGGCATGTGCCAATTTGGCATTTCATTTCACACCCCTGCCCCACGCTCGCCCTTTTGCAGCTTCAACAAGCAATGGCTGCCCTTTGCATGCCCGCTCAATCACCAAGATTGTAATTTCGACAAACTCTAGCTTGACGGCATGTGATCAGGCACTCGAACTGCAGAATGTGTCGTCGGAGTCGCAGCTCCGTTGCCAAAGGTCAAAGCGGTCCCTGTTTTCAGACCCCTCAGAGGCATCCCTTTCAAGATGTGGGCTGGCTCATCCCAAGGAACGCGTCATACAATCTCTTCGCCTGCGAAGAGAACCAGTGCAGAATTGACCTCCAGAGGAGGACCGGCTGAGAAGGAAGATGGGACGGGCGCCAATGCTTTGCAAGCTGGCTCTTGGGCCTAGGAGTAGGGCCAAACTAGCGTTGCCGTGATAGACCCTTGGCTTCCGGGACCGGCTAGCCCCATATTCCAACTGCATCCCGGGCTCATCAAAAACACAACTGTCCGCTTTTTCACTTTGGAGTTTAGACCCCGAGGGACCCGTTGAATGACTATTGTGCTTGTTTGGGTCTTCCCTGCGCAAGACTGGCAGGCGAGCAGGGCAAGCAGACCGCCCCTGTGGGCCATACTGAGCGAATCCAGGTTGTTTGTCATGCGCTACCGTTACTGAGGGTGTTACCCATTGAAATGCAGCCATTCGCGAGAGATATGCCTCAATCCAGGCACATGAAACTCAGCAGCTTGGAACCCCAGCAGCCATATAGGAATCATCAGGATCCATCCGATCAGTTACTCTCGCCTGAACCCATCTTGCCCCAGATTGATTTCCTGATTCTTTTTCTGCTCAGCGAGTGGAAACTTGATGCACGCCAGCATCGTAACATCCATGGCACGGCTCTCGCACTATGAGGACAGCGCCACCACAGAAGTTCTCGCCCCTCGGCCCTGGAAGATCAATCCAATGGAAAGCTCGAGAAAGCGGACACCCAAATGCAGCACTCAAGCCGGCAATGGTTGGTACGAAAACGCTTACTTCATGGCTCAACGATGGTCATTCGTGTTCTTAAGCTCTTAAAGGCTGCTCCAAGGCCGAAATTTGCGCTGTTTGGCCCATGCCCACATTTCAAAGCCGGGGGCTAAATAAACGCAGACGAAGCACATGACATGCTCAGCCGATGGAAACGCGTCGAAACACATCTTCGCTTACGAAGTCTGGCTCACCCCACACCAAATTCCGAACTGTCGTTTAACAGCTATCCATAGGCAATACTCCGCACTCGCAAGTCCGATGGAAAGGTTTCTGGGGCATTTGACCGGTTTCTACGAGGAAGTGATCGGCTTCTTGGGAGGTTGTCCGGTTCTATGGGAAAGTTGACGGGCTTCAAGGAATTTGACCTGGTCGTCTTGAGGTGTCTTGCTTTCTGGTGTTACTATTCCCTGCTAGTTTTGGATGCGTATCGCAAGCGTGTCAAAGATGGATTTCGTGACAGGCGCAATACTTTGGACGATGTGGAGTTTGTGAGCACTTTGGAGCTTTTACTTTGAATTTCGTGTGTGTGTGTGTGTGTCGAAACTGTGGGTGGTTTCTGCGACGCATTCAGGCGCGCAACGAAATGTAATGTAATATGACATCCTGTTCTCTTGTGCACGTCATGGTATATGCACATATCCTCATTGCGCGTTCGCTGGCTTACTCCGTTACGGGCCGTCTCGTTTGTCCTTCCCTTCCTTGACGCTTATGCCGCTTGATATGTTTGGGACTCAGTCTGAGGCTTCAGCTCCTGGCCCAACTGGGACCCGAGCACGTCCTGGATCTGAACCCGTACCAGGACAGCGCTGAGCGACGGGAGTGAGTCCGGTTCGGTGAAACTGTCCATGGGTCATTTGGGGGGGGTATGGGGGAGATCACCCGGTCCCCGGCCCAAAAAAACGACACGAAGAAAATAGGGACTCGCCAACATGAATATGAACTGTCAGGCATGGCGTGAAACTCGTCATTATGAGTATGACATGTGAGTAGAACCGTGTGAAATGTGTTCTGCACAATGTCATCTTTGAATTATGTCATGAGCGTTGCTGCCGGATAAAGATACCACACCAAAGAGGCCTTGAAGACTAATAATCGTTCAAAGTGGAGCTACCGCCCTGATGATTCACATACAGGCCCGTGTTCAGATGCTTCCTTTGCCTAATGAAGCAGCTGTTTGGTCCTGCTGCTTTGCGCAGCAACAGGGCGTTTGAGCGCGCCGGTTTCTCAATTCAGCTGCTGTTGCTGCGTTGAATGGTACTCCTAGTTTTGCGGACTGTGGATTGTTTGAAGCCGGGGCTGAGTTTGTTGTGGTGTGGTAGGTATTGCTGCTTACCGTTTTGCTGGCAGTGCTTTGATGGTTCTGACGGTCGTTCCAGTCGAGTTCTCCGTTCAACCTTACGACACAAACACGCCGTCATCTTGTTTCGTGGCACCCAGCCGCGGTCAGCACAACTGGGCGCTTCATCTCGCAGCCTGTTTGTGGCTCAAGGTCTGGGGCTTTGATCGAAGAGAAGCCATGTGCAGGGACTCCAGGGACGTGAGCGGAAGCGGGGCGGCCGCTCAAGCAACTTAGCGGCATAAGTGTGGCCCAGGGGTTAAGAAAGGACTTGATGGGCGCGCGCTGGCCCGCGTGCAAGATGCAACGCTTGCCAGCCAGAGAGAAAGCAAGCTGGCCAGTTGCTTCTGACATGGCGATTAAACCAATGAAGTTGCTGAATTGGTAACGTGTTGGCTTGTTCTTGGCAGGAAAAGCAATGTGTGTTGACTCCGCCCAGAAAAAGCTAGTTGCTTCACATTGTTGCCACGGTTTTCGACAGTGTAGTCAAGCCTCTTGCATCACATCGCCCATTGGGCAGTGACCCATTTGTCGATTGTTGAGACTTCCTCAGCATGTGAAGGGGTGCGTGGTTTCCGAGCCATGCCCATTTTGGCGGTGACCGACAATCTTCACAGGAGCCGGAATTGGCCCAGCCTCCATTCCGCTTGTTCTATTAATTCACAGCACCTGACGCTCGTTGTCAAAGTACACAAAGAGGCAGCTAGCTTCTTGGAATTTCTAAAGCTGCTACGTAGGCAGACCCTGGTGCAAGGTGAAAGCAAGCCATTCCCGTTTTTCAACACAGAGGCCCTACGCCTAAATGCTAATCCTGAGTGTCCAACTTTGGCAGAAGGCAATGAGAGTCGGAACTGATGGTTGACGTGGGGGTTGGGAAGTGCTTGGTATTGGAGGACTTGTTAAATCCCAGCTAGGTATGACTTTGCGCACACTCAGGGCGAGCAAGAATCATATGGGAGTTGTGACCTTGTGTCTTTCAATCTGGCCAGGGTGATTGTTCGCTTCTCCTGCTGGTTTGAAATGATTTGAGATGGAAGCGGTGATGACTGGTAGATATTTAATCTGTGATCGGCTTCTTAAGCAGGCAGAGGTTTCCATTTGAGAGTTGGGGTGACTCGTCTTGGGCCAAGGAGGGGCGAGGACGAGCTCAGAGCCGTGGTTGCCATGGATCAAGCGAATCTAGCATCTTGACCATGGTGGTATCTCCATTGTCCAAGAGTCACGTGCAGCGTTGAGATCCTTTCTAATGGCATTGCTAAACAGGTGTTTCGCAGTACAGCTGACATGTGTAGATGTGGCCTCCATCGAAAGCAAGCGCGCCGTGATGTTTTTTTTCCCCCCAGGTAGCCTAAGGGAGGCTCATTGTGCTGGGACCCGGTGGGTGCCATGGGTCCCAGACAGGAAAAATGGCAAAATCAACCCTGATTCAGCGAGTGGCGTAATTCTCCCCTTGCACTCTAGAGTGCAAGGCACTGCTTCTTTGTCTAGTCCTTTGGGCGCCCTAACCTCTTGCCAGGGTGAAGGCTGGTCCGACATCTTCCCTTCTAGCTCCACGACGGCCAACAAAATAGCCCTGCCGTCCCGAGTGGCATTATTGTTCCTTTTTGTTGGATGGGTGTCCCGTGAGCGGAACAGAAGCCGCACACTCCAAAGAGCATGCCCTGTTTCCGCGGCAAATGGCAATAGTCTCGCCCGGTCTCGCCCAATGATTCGGATCACTGGAGCCTTGTATCCTCAAACAGTTTTTGCACGGCAGTGTCTACCACGTAACGACGTAAGTGTATACCCCTACCTCCCTAATTCCAGGCCGACCTCCCTGACCCGGCCTTGTTGAAGTTAGCCGCTTGGAGGGCGTTCGAGCGCTTCACCAGTGCTAGAAACCAGAGGGACCCCCGTTTTGAGACCCATGCCTCTTCCAGGAATCCTCGGGAAACAGGGGAAAAGCGTCAATTTGTCCCCTACTTTTCCAGCTAACCTTTCTCAGATTCCAAGTGGACTTGTTTTGGTTTTATTCCTTTTCAATTTCAAGCTTCCTATGCCACGGGCCTCGATTTGAGGCCTTTCCCCGGAGCCAAGACCTTATGAGGAACACCTACGCCGGGTGTTTGGGCCTGCTGGCATGCCATCAGCGCCCAAGCCAAGTTTTGAGCGCCGTGTACAGGGGGCGCCCCTCGCGCGCATCTGATGGGTGAGATCGTGAAGGGATTCATCCACGCACTTTAAAGCAAAAAGTGCGTGGCATTCCTGATTCCTTGCATGGGCAATGATCTTTTCTCTTGTCGAATTGCGGGGCACTCGTCCTGAATGAAGTGGCAGGTGCCTTTGATTTCTGCAAAGCCCGGGGAATCTCGGCTTGCATGGGTCAATCAGGGCACAGTCAATTCAGAACTGGACAAGGCCCCGCTCTGCTAGCGCACAGATAGCTACACTTTTAATTGAGGGTCGTGATTGCTCTTTGCAATCCACGCTGAACCTGGGCATGCGGCATCAAAAACAGCAGCCATGCCCGTTGCCATTTTGTCTTTCGGTTTTCGGCCAGACGCACACAGGCGAGTGGCCTGTTTTGCGGAGCTGTGGATCTGTTCCGATGTGCGTTTGCCAATGGCGATTTTGCGCTTGCTCAACTGGTGCAAGACTGGCGCGGCTTGCTAGACTCTAGACCATGGCAGATGCCTGGGAAATCAGACATAATTCAAGAGCTCTTTCAGAGAGCGGCCACCGACTCGGGTCTATTGGACAGTGGTGGCGGCACGTGGACGAGAACCAAAAGCTCGTTGCAGGAACAGACTGTAGCTACAGGCTAGCAGGCGGCAGAAAAAGTGCACAGAAGGTGGCATGGTATGGGTGGCTCACCTGGAAATACCTGGAATAGAACGAAGCCCGTGCAATGCTGATGGTTGCTTCGTGGGGGACCCCTTGCTTCAGGTTGTGGAAGAATGATATTTGCTTGGGATACACGTGGTAGGTCCGCCACTCAATGGGTCTTGCGGTCTCGCAGTAGAACATCGAAGGGTATGGTGTGTCTTGCCGTGCCATGGGGCTGACAGGCAACATGGCACAGACGGCACAGAAACGTGCTGGGTCCCCAAAAATAGGCCCGACTTTGAGGAGAGCCTTGCGTCCAGGTGACGTAACCCTGCAGATCCATTTGTCCGAATCGTGGTGTTGTTGTTTTTTTTGGCTGGTGACACATGCAAGGGGCCATTGCTGAATCTCTCAGCGGCTTTTCTCCCGTGTATGTGATCTCTTTGCTGCTTTTGTGAAGCTTATGGAAGCCGCGGGGGCCTGCGGGGAGTGTGTAATCTACATGGAGGTGAGGTCCTGAGGTGGTGTCTACACGGGCTGGTGTGGCTTGAACTTCTGGTTCGGGAGGAAGGGCTCGTGTTGGCGGCCATGGGGTGTCCACATTTGCACCGGGTAGCTAGGAAAGATCCATCCCCGATACCCCAACGTTCCATGTGAGCACAAAGGCCGACGTTTGAGGCAGATAAGTGTCACCTCTTTAGCACCCATGCCTCCATCGAACAGCCACACTGTTGTTGAAAACATTAAAAAGTCACAGAGGTGTTTGCCCGAATGAGTGCAGTGTTTGAGAGGTTGAGCAGCTCCAATGAGTGAATCGTTGCCCGACCTTCCTGGAGCTTCAGGAGGCAAACTTTAAGGTGCTGGACATTGACCAGGACCGGAAAAGACAAGAATAGGAGATAAATCAAGAAGCAAAGCTCCAAAACAGATTGGTGCCAATACTGTTTGGGAAGAAGCCTCATTTGGCCTCTGAAGGGGTCAAAACCAGCCCTGTTGCCCTTTCTCCTTCTGGAATCAGTAGCTATCGCATGCACAAAGCATCCGAAAAGGCCCTGGCAGACCGCTTGCGTTATGCCTCAAAATCACCATCCAACCACGTCAGAAAGTCTACCTGCTGCTTCCTTTTTCCTAGGGTTCTTCATCTGAAAAGATGGTCCAACCATGTCAGACTTTATTCAAGCTTCAGATCCGCTCCACAGACGCGCGAGCGAGGAGCTCTGCAAAATCACCCGGGTGTCAAGGGTCAAGGCCTGCGGTGGCAAGCTCAACGCCATGTTGCTGGAAGTGCCGCTAGCAGCTTTGCCCAAAGCTGCTGATGTGCTCATTCTTTCTTCAGAAGCCTCGGGGTGAGAAAAGTGTCAAGAGGAACCAAGGCAAGCAGAAAATGCCATGGCCTGTCAAAACTTCTAGCGACCGACCTGTCTGGATGTGGCTCAGCATTTGCGACACAGCGGCATCGGACTGCCTTGTAGACCAGGGCGCCCCTAGGTTCGCCCAGTTCCTTTTCATAAGAATCTGGTGGAACAGAACCTCATGAGCTTCGAACGGTGTGGTTTGTTCATTTCTTTTCTCCAGACTCATGTTGCACGAGGACCACGTGGGATTCAATCTTGAGCCGAGCGCAATTTTCTATGTATGGCAGGACCACAAAAATTGTGGTTTGCCTGTTTGCGGAAGTGCCCGTAAGTTGACTTGACCGTGTGTTGCATTTGGACCCAAAGGGAATGACTCGTAGTCTTTGAGGTGGGGAACGCCATAGGCATCGCGTTGAGTCGTTGAGACAAAGGAGCTGGCCGCGATCAAATTGGTAGCGAGAGCTGGTTATGCAGTCCTCATGGAACGAGGGCGGGCAGTTCCAGAGGAGGTTCGGTGGAGATGGGGGCGACCTGACGAAGGAGTGGAAACGGTGGAAAAAGTGGAGCCGGGCAGACTTGGCGGTGCAGAAAGCCAAGGGCTAAGCTTCAACTCCGTGGAGCTCATCCTGGATGGAGATGTGCCGACCGAGGAGTCGGATGCGGTGGAGGTGATGCTGAGTTGGAAGCAGGCACGCACCAACATCAACATGGAGAAGATCGCTGGGGGCTTCCCTTCTGGTGAGCGACAATCCAGGCCCGACGTGAAGAAGCTGAAGGCCAGAGCGCGGTGCTTCAACTGCAAGCAGAAACTGTCCGAAGAGAGCAGCCGGCGGAGGCGGTGGATCTCAAGGGCGAGATGGGCACAGCGAGATGAACTATGTGTTGTTCGAAGGCTCCTGAAGGCGCAGGCGGCTCAACAAGTTGCTTCCCGTGAAGGTGGGTCACCTCTGACAATCTTACGGGTGCGACAGTGCCCGTAAGTTGGCAACTTGACCGTGTGTTGCATTTGGGCACAAAGGGAATGACTCAGTCTTTGAGGTGTTGATCGCGATGAGTCGTTGGGACAAAGGAGCTGGCCGCGATTGAACTGTCGGCGTCCCCTAAGCCAGCCTAAGAAAGATGGTTGCAAACGAACACAGAGATACAAAGGATCGGCGTGTTCCACAGCCCAGGATTTCCTTCCTGATGGACTGATTGTCACCCGCATCAAAACCTGGATCAGAAGTAACAGGCGAGCTGCAGGTTGGCGTGGCTTGCAGGTTGGCCCTCAGTTCCGACCTCGCTTTTCGGTCAACCCTGTCCCCTTCCCAACCAATTGGTACTTTGGTGTATTTGTAGATGGGTGTTGTTCAATCAAAGGAAATGTCAAACCAGACTTATGTTCAATATATGCTGGCACTCGTTGGCAGAAGTTGGCATGGTTGCGTGGTTGTTTTTGCTCATGCCGGTTGGCCTGAGTTGTAGCTGAGATATTCCTGCTTGTTTGGGTGGTGACGATTAGTGGATGGGTTTTTATCTGGAGAACCTTGTTGCTTGCCAGTCGTTTGAGGTGGGCGTGGTATTGGTTTGTGGCTTGCATGCTACATTCTTGGCAGTTGCTTTGCACTTGGCAGGTAGGGCTTGCTACATTTCAGGTTGGCATCCACAATTTGCTTACAACAGTGTCACCCGCTTACCCGCCAACTTCACAAACCTCACCACCCACCCGCCCGCCGACTGCCTGCCCCCAGTCATTCCAGTCCAAGCTTACTTCCAGTTGACTGCAAGCTATCTTAATGTCAGTATCCGGCTCCAGCAATCTCCGACGGTGCGCTGACAAATCTACCAGATTAGCTTACCTGTTTTATGTTCAATTGTTTCATTCGCTCAAAACGTGCGAGGGGACAAACTGACACTACTCAATAAGCCCTGTCCAAAGTCTCTCTGCATACTTTGTTCTTTTGTTTGTCGCTGTGCAGTTATTTGTCCTGAGGCATCCAAACTGTTTGCGTGTTTGTCCCGCGCGTGGTTCGGAGGTTCGCAGCTTCAAGATGTGACCTGATAACATGTAAAGTGACAGCTGCCAATTGGAAAGCTTTCCCAAGCCTTTTACGCACATTCAAGATCACAGCTGTTCAGCCTCGCAAATCGTTGCACGTAATAGCTGCCAACTCATCAAGTCAGATTCCCAGTGTCCGTTGCACATGTTCAACATGCAGTAATTACCGTATTCGGGACATTGTTCCAAGATGGCGGGTAGAGTTGCTAATGGATATCTAGCTGGCCAGGGAGTGCTCGGTCAACGCCATGTGCGCAACTGTGAATCATCAATGCCGGGCAAGTATGCGCACATATACCGCGCTACAACGTTTGACGCCTGTGTCAAATGCAGGGAGTACTGAGTAGCTCTGAGAATGTGCAATTCTAAAGTTTTCAGCGGCGTAGGGCAAGGGAGACAATGAGGCAGGGAAAAAGGTAGCATGTAGACTACAGACAAACTAACACTTAGAATATGGCACACAGCCTGTAGCTCTCGTTCATGTTCATTTTTCTCCGCGTCTGGATCGTGTGGATGTGTGTTTTCTCTTTGGCAAATCCTTAACTTTTGAGACAAGAAGCCGAAGGGATCCATGCCAGTGGTCGCAGGTGACCAATCCGATTATGGCCTAAAGGTGTTTGGAATCGGCCTCGCCGTTTCAAGGTTGGCAACATATGACGCAGAGTCCGAAAAAGGGGGTCTGGTTTGACCGGGTTGGGTCAAGCCTTGATTGATGTCGATTGTAACGCGTGGTGGCAGCTGGACGAGCCCATTTGCGCTTCTCATTACACTCCGTGGGACATGGAATGAAACAGCCAGTGAAAAACGAGCAGCAAAGGACTGATCCAAAACTGATCCATGCAATCGCCTCGGCATCCTGCACCAATGGGTGGGGGGAAGAGCTAAGAAGTAAGGCATGTTTAGGAAAGCCTTCTGCCAGGTTCTGGAGCCCCTATCCCATGATACTCGAAATCAGGATCTTCAACTGAGCCGCTTGCAGCGGATGCGGCAACGTTTGGTGGCCACAGGGGCCATAAGGCGGTCAGGGCCAAGCCACTTGTTCCATGGCATCTTTTTTGTTTGGTGGGATCCCCACTACAAAAGGTTTTCCAACCCTAGAGACGGGTTGCTGCTGCTATCATTCGAGGCAATGGGCAGCTGACAATTGGCCATGGCCAAGTTCCAAGTTGTTCCGAACGGTCCCATGGCTGACATGCCCAGGACCCTTGTTGATTTGCTCCTGACCCTCCCACTGCTCGCCACGGACGACATGCGAACGGCCAACAGGACATGGGTAACCCCCCATATCGGGAACCTTGGGCATTGGTGTAGACACTTGTTTTGGGGATCCTTGGTGTTGCTTGAAAAGGCAGCCCCTCAGTTGGGCAACAGGGTCCGTTGCTTAAGCATTGATAGCAGCATGGCAACTGCAGGCCAGGGCTGCTGAGAAAGTGGAACGGGAGACTGATCAACGGGTCAAAGGAAGGGAATCCTACAGTCTTAGAAAGCTCCGGGCAGCAGCGGTTCTATGCTTCACTCCTGTTCCAAGCATCCAGAGGCCCTATGCAAGGCAAAGGCTGACCCGGCATGATCTCTTTCAGAGATCCTTAGAGAGAGCAAGAGGCGAGGGCGACTCGCGGAAAGACGCTGGAGCGCGAAGAGTTGGCAAATGTGTGACCCCTAGCCAAGCGGAAAGCGATCCCGAAAAGGACCACTCGTTTTGTCAACTCTGCAGATGCGGCGCTGCTTGTGTGTGTTCCATGCTGGCAATGGCTTCGGCCTGCGGCTTACCTGTTGGATACTGTGGCAAGATGCCCTGGTGGAGTGGGAAAAAGCAGTAGACGACCAATTCAAGCCATGCAGACTCAGTCATTGTGTTATGATGAATCATCCAGGGCAAAGCTGGCATTGTGCAAGGCATGTCTCTGTTTTGGCAGCTGAGGATGTAATGCAGAATCATCTTCTTCAGCTGCTGACGTTCGGATCTTGGAAAGGAAGCTGGCATGCCATGGCCAATGGCTACTGGGAGGAAAGTCAGTGAAAGGACAGCTAGGCTAGGCGTCGCAGACACACACACACACACACACACACACACACACACACACACGGGCCATGTCACACCGGAGTAAGGGAGTGCTGTTTGGTTGTATTGATGCTGACTCCCGTGCTTGCCTCGTGTTGGCAGTCTCAAGTGCCGGAGGTGGGCGGCACGTTTGTAATCAGCTCTTTGGCGACCATAGTGCACTGAGAAGACTTGGAGGAGATGATTTTTCTCCCACACAGGGCTGATGACGATTGCAATCTGGGCACTTGGGCACATCCTCTCAGCATCTCTTCAGGTTGGTGCTCATGGAAGCGCCAGAGGGGGGGCCAAGAAACGCATCGAGAGCCGGGGCGTGGGGCAGAAGCGGCCCTGAACGGTTGCCAGGGTCTTCCAAGTCGCCGCTATCCTGTGGTGGTTTCAGTGAGCGCGCCCCGAAGCCAAGGGAAGTTAGGCACAGCCCAAAGCGCATCATGGGGAGAGTCGGACCGGGCCAATGCAAGAACAGAATTGGCCGGCTGGGGTGCTGGGGTGCGGGGGTTTGGATCCAATGAGTGCCAGCGGCATAGCAAGGAGCAAGCTCAGCTGTTAGATCCCAATCTCACATCCCAGATGACGACCCCTAAATGTGTCCTTCCTTTAGTGCTTTATTCCTTTGAAAGGCTGGAACGGAGTCGTGCCATGGGTCGCCATCATACAACCAGTTGGCGCTTGATGCAACTGCACCCAGCGCTTTGCGCAAGGAGGTCAGCAGCAGAGGTCAGCACGGGAAAGCCGACTTGAACCTGCACTCCAAAAGATGTTTCCTTCCAAGCTGCTGAACGAAGAGAAGATCCAGCTTGAGATATCAGCCAGCAGGCAAGCAGTAGGAGCATGCATGCACGCGCCATATGCAGAGCAGGTCCCGTTTGGCAGGTGGCCCCATATGTGGCCCCCTTCTTGTGAGCAACTCTGATTTTGAATGCAGCTGGGAAGTCTAGCGCATGCAGACGTGGCTTACTTCCACGGTACTTTTCGGGCCCCCGAACTCTGAGGGATCCATCCGTGACCTCTAAGGCCAGCCTCAACCCTGAAGACGTCCGCGACGAGAAGGTCAAGGCAAAGAGGGCCGGCGTCGACACTGAGCAAAGAGGGAGGAAGGCCAATCCCCAAAAACAAGTGGAGGGGCCGCGTTTAGGATGCAGTGAACGACTCAAATGGGCCACTAGCGCCAGGAGACAAAGTACTAGCGCCTGGGTTCAGGAACGCCATCGAAGGCGCTTGAGAAAGGCACTACGCATGTTGGGTGACGCAAAAGTCACAAAGTGTACGTGCTTTTGCAGAAACCGTAGCTTCCTTGACTGCACAGAGAGACGGAAAAGTCCATGGGCAGATGCAGAGTCTATGTTTGCGGCGCGTGTAGTTAGCATGACGAAAGCAAGGCTATGTCAAGCATCAGCTTCATGGGACCAATTCTAGGGCTTCAGAGGGGAGTGGCTGGCAAGATGGCAGGGGGAGCTCGTTGCCCGAACGTAAGCGGGCCTGATCTATGTATGTCTCATGAGGGGGTGGGCCAAGGGAAGAAAGCCACCCGCATCGGAGGCTTCTTCTACATGTTGAAGGGCCTCGCTGTTTCCACCAGAGATCAAAAGTTGTCAACCTGAAACACGTCCTGGAGGGACTTTCCTTCAGATTCCACCCGAGCATAGATCCAAATCTCTTCTGTCACGGCCATGTTCGCTGATCTTGGCTGTATGCAAGATGAATCAACGTCAGGAGCGGTTGGCCTAGGACAAGCTGCGCCCAGCGTGGTTGACCATCAGAAGCTCGAAGCCTGCCAGGTGCTGAAGCAGTTCCGGGAGGTGAGTCGAGAGGACTGCGTGGTCGGCCAGTACGAAGGCTACCAGGACGATCCAGCCGGAGCCTCACACCGGTTTGGTTCGGAGACCTCCAGTGCCCGGATGCACGTGCTGCCTTGTTTTCATGTGGGTTCCCTCAACCACAAAAAAAAAGTGTGCTTTAGTCTCCTTGGTCACTGGAAGTTTGGGTTCCCAAGATGGCTGGCATTGGAAGAGGGGGTGTCTCGTTTGACTCACATGTGATTGTTTGCCTTGAGCTTCTCAGTCTCCGCTTCAGTTCCCGTGCCTGGTTTTCCATGAGGCAAGTTAGCAGTGAGAAAGGGGCAGTCTGCTTTTGGTGAATTCATTTCTGTTGCCGTACTACAGGAATCCGACACAATTATGCGCCATTAGGTATTTAGTATTTATGTGTGTATTTATTGATTTCTCATTGCTTTCGGTTTTTTTGAGTTTATGTGTTTATATATTGAGTCGGTTAGTTCATTGCAGTAGTTGTTTTTGTATTTATGTAGTTTTGTGTTCATGTAGTCGTTCGTTCGTTCGTTCGTTCGTTGATTCATCCATTCATCCATCCATCCATCCATCCATCCATTCATTCATTCATTCATTCATTCATTCATTCATTCATTCATTCATTCATTCATTCATTCATTCATGCACATATGTTGATAGTCAAAGGAAGTTTAGAAGGAACTTCCGTGTTACGGATACTAATTGAAGGTAGCTTGCGCAAAGATGAGATATAGGAAGAATAGATGCATGCGAGAAAACATGCGTGCGCGTGTGGCGGGGGAATAGAAATCGCAAAAAAGAGCAACCCTCTGCGGGTTTTGGCTTCTCCGGCTGGCTGAAAGCTACCCCGGTCGCGACGCCTGTCTGACGACGGGTTCGGAACAGGTCGGACGGGTTCGGAACGGTCGGAGCGGGGCCCACTGTCACGGCAACACGGAGGTTTCGCAGGGTTTGATCTTCGTGGCAGGCGCAGCATTTTGGCAAGGTCGGGTACAGATTTCGTGGCAGGCGCAGCATTTTCAATCTTCTGGCACGGACGCATCGCAAATCCCATTGGCACGGACGCGCAAGGCGGCGCATGCAAATTTCGTGGCAGGGGTAGCATTTTCGCAAGGTCAGGTACAGATTCGTGGCAGGGGCAGCATTTTCGCAAGGTCAAGCACAGATTTCGTGGCAGGGGCTGCATTCTCGCAAATTCAAGTACATATTTTGTGGCAGGGGCAGCATTTTCGCAAGGTCAAGTGCAGATTTCGTGGCAGGCGCAGCAATTTCGCAAGGTGAGGTACAGATTTCGTGGCAGGCGCAATACTTTCGTGATCGAAGGTACGATTCCATTTTTCCAGCTGCAGCTCGAAAATCCCAGAAGTTAAGTACAAAAGTAGTATTCGAAGTACACTTCTCCAGCTGCAGCTTGAAAATGGGAAAAGTCAAGTACAAAAGTAGTTTTCGAAGTAGATATTTTGATGAAGCAAGCTAGATAGCTACATAGCTAGATAGACAGCCAGACAGGGAGCTACAGAATTAGATAGCTAGATAGATTGCTAGACAGACATAGTGCCAGATAGCTAGATGGATGGCAAGACAGCTAGATAGCTAGATAGAGAGATAGATAGATAGATAGAAAGATAGAGAGACAGAGAGATAGAGAGAGATAGATAGATAGGTAAAATAGATATATAGGTAGATAGATAGATAGATAGCTACCTAGATAAATAGATAGACAGACAGATAGATACATAAATAGATAAAGAGATAGGTAGGTAGATAGATAGATGGAGAGATGGAAAAATTGATTGATCGACAGGTTGACAGATAGATAGAGAGATAGAGGGATGGACAGATAGGAAGGAAGGAAGGAAGGAAGAAAGGAAGGAAGAACGAAAGAAAGAAAGAAAGAAGAAACAAGAAAGAAAGAAAAGAAAGAACGAAAGAAAGAAACAAAGAAAGAAAGCAAGACAGACAGACAGGCAGATAGATAGATAGATAGAGAGGTAGTAGAGAGATGGATAGATAGGTAGATAGGTAGGTAGGTAGATTAGCTAGATAGAGAAATAGAGATATAGATAGATAGATAGAGACAGACAGATAGATCGATAGATAGAGAGATAGATGGATGGATGGATGGATAGATAACTCGATAGATACATGGATAGATAGATAGAGAAGAGAACAGCGCAAAAAAACGCAGCAAAAGAAAGACCGACAGAAAAGACAGAAAATCGAAAGAAAAAAGGACGGAAAGAAAGAAAGAAAGAAAGAAGCAAAGAAAGAAGGAGAGACAGAAGGACAGAAAGAAAAAAAGAAAAACACAAAGTCGTTCCTATAGTTGTATACTGTCTTGAAACTTCCGCCTCCCCTCTTCGCCGGCTATACTGGTATAGTCTATGAGTGGC